GGTAGGCCCGATCCTTGGCCGGCATGGCCTGGGCAAGCACATCATGGCCGTCAACGCCATCATCAAAGACACCCCCGCCGACGGGGTACTCCACCACTTTCTGGTAAGTGGCAGTGGCAATCTCCTTGCCAGCCCGCTTCGTCCGAGTCTCCTGGACGAGAGGGAGCGGTTGAGCAACGCCGCTGGAAGGAGCAGCGGAAAGATCCACAACGGCGGCAGCAGCGCCAGAACCACCATCGTCCACACTTGGGACGGTCAGAACGCCGACCTCATCGGCATGGGAAGGAGACGGCGCCCTCTTCGTCTTCTTGGCGAGATTCAGACCAGTCTCGGTCAGCTTCTTCTGGCCGTCAGTAGGAGGCCGTTTCTTCTTTGACTGGGCAGGCTTCGGGGCCACACCAACAGCAGCCCCGCCTCCCTCGGCCGCGGCACGCCTCGCCGCCTTGGCCTTGGCTATGGCCATGATCGAACGGCGATCCATCACAAAGTCTACACAAAGGAAAATGAACAGGTTAGCAAGGCAAAAGAACAAAAAACAAAGGAAGAAAGCCGGAGAAAGTATTACCATCGGCCTCAGCAGGAATGCCCAAATCCGGGCCGTCGGCCTCCTCAAAGGTAGTGGTCATCCTCGGCCACAGTTGGACATCGTCCTCCTTGTCACCATACACATAGTACCTAAAGAAGCCGAGGGCGGTCATCTTATACTCGGTGATGTAGTCTTTCACGCTCATCGGCCCCCCGTCCAGGAACGCCTCCACCTGAGCGTCCAAGATCAAACTCTTCGGCGGGTCGTGCAGATTGAACCTCCCAGTATGGCCGAGAGAGAGAAATTCAGCGCCGTTCTCACCAAGGGACACAAAACGAACTTGCTCTTCCAACCATGGATGGACGAAAGCAAGTGCGTGAAGCTCCTCTTCTTCGGCAATTGTTGGAGGGTGGCGTAGGCCGCACAGTTCTGGTGACTTCCTCGGCCAATCTGGTAGAGGTTCATGAAGAGAGCTGTCGTCGGCTTGTAGCCCAACTCCTCACAGCGGAGCAAGAAGCCCACCATCAACGAGTAGCTGTTCGGGGTCAGCAAGGCCGGAGGAAGCCCCACCATGTCCAAGTATTTCGTGATGAAGGGATGAAGGGGAAATCTGAGCCCATTGGCGAAGCTCATCGGGTACACTCCAAAGTATCCCGGCGGCGGATTAAGTACATGGTCCGTCGGCCTGGGTGCCCTAACCCTCCCGAACGGCCCCACATACATCTGCGCGACAAGGTAATCGGCCGCGTTGCTCTCCGGCTTGATAAGGTAAATATTCACCAGATCCAGGTGGGAGTACCCTGGCCCACTCCTCGGCCTCCTTATCCTCTTCGGCTTCTCTGCTCCCTTCACGACGGACACCGGCCTCGGGCACGGAATAACAGTGGAAGTGGACGCCCCGTCCACCACTCGGGATGCACCTGCGTCCTCCCCTCCCGAAGACGAGGCAGACTCCTCGTCCTTACCCTCGTCGTCCTCCGACTCTCCGGACTTATAAGGGCTCAAACGCTCTATTTCCTCCTCGAACTCCTCGACCACCTCGTAGTCAAGGGACCTAGTGGAGGTCTGGTCGTCGTAGGGGTAGTACTCCTCGTCCAAACTCTTCATCATTACAACTATTAAAGCCCTAAAGGTCTCTACTTTGGATCTAAGTGCGAATCCCCTATTAACACTAGATCAAAGTCCCAGGAAGCTAAGTATACGAAATATGAAAGGAACAGGTGAAGAACTGACCTTTGAATATTTGAAGAAACGGAAGAACGCTTGAACAAACACCTCAAAGACTCTCTCTCTAGAAATTTCAGCAGCACTTCGTGAGCACAGATTGCAAATGAGGCCACCACGTCGGAAGGGGAGGGGTATTTATAGACCTCCTCTCCAACGGTCACTACACGTGGCACCATACCAGTGGCCACCTCAGCGGTCACCTTCCCAGCAGCCAATGAGGTGTCACCCCTTCAGAAATGGGCCAGGCTCGTGGACTAACCTACCGGCGGAGTAAAAGCCTACGGATCATACGGACAACTAGCGCCCACAACGGCCTATATGCTTGCCGACTTCACGAATGCCAGCAAAGCGCCCACAACGGCCTATACGCTTGCCGGCCTCACAAATGCCAGCAATAAGGAGATGACAACGGCTAGGAACGTCATGAACGCCCGTAACGGCCACAGAGCCAACGGAACAAAGAATCCGCAGCCATCGCCCTTCGTGATCACCCCTGATGATAACTCTTTACAAGCGATCTGCGCACAAGGGTTCTCCCACAGGGTTACCTTGGCCAGAAAATCGCCATAAGGGTTAGATTCAGGGGCACTACGGAGAGGCCATTTCGGCCAGGGACTCAAGCAACTCCTTCACCCCTCACACTCTTCGGCCTGAAGCAGTGGGGGACTGGGGGACTACATCGGCCTCAATAATACAGACAAAGGAAAAATGCAAACACAAATGTAACCGCAAAGCATGGCCACATCGTCCATGTATCACAATGGCGCCAAGGTTTTCGTGACTCCATCTCCGGCCAGGCACTTTGGACAACACGGCGCCTCGTCGGCCAAAGGCACATAACATCATCAGCAACGGCCAACAGGCCACCTAAGGCAAGGACATTCATCGTCCTCCACCAGCAGTTAATCATAATGGGCTCTTCGGCCAGGAACACGAAAGCCAACCAGCGACGGCCAAAAGGAGTGCGCAAGCACCCTCACCGGCCACCCAAATGAAAGGACGCCCATCGTCCTCGAAGCAAGGTTCAACCTCAACGGCCTCATCGGCCCAAACGTAAATCTCAACCATCAACGTCCAAGAAAGGGAAAACGCGTCTTCAACGGCCACCATCGAAGCAGGACACTCATCGTCCCCAAACGAACACACCGAGGAAACAACGGCCTCCCCGTCCACAGCGAGGAGCAGGTAACGGCCAAGCACCGAACAAGACCACCAAAATGGGAACAACGCCAACGCCACAACAGCTAACGGCCTGGGAGTTCCCGCATCGGCCAAAAGCACCAAAGCACGAGAATCTACTCTCCTTCACTTCGTCTACGTCTCAGCTTAGAGAGTGGGGGACTCCTGATGGAGTATATGGGTCTGAGCCCTAGGACCCACATACTCAGAAGAACAGAAAGCACAAGACACTGAGTGGCGCCCTTGTCGGCCAAGGGACCCCCGTCGGCCAGGAAAGGTACCAACTCAGAATATGGTCCTGAATCCAAGGAACCCGGGTGCCCGCGTCGGCCGCGCCCTCGTCGGCCGTGCCCTCGTCGGCCACGAAGACCTCACAGAACCGGATTTTACACTTACTCATTTGTACAACCCATTAGTGGCTTTGTATTCGGCCCAGTAGCAGTCCAGTTGTAAATGGGCCTCCCAAGCCCAATGCTTGGGAGACCAGCCCGTATTTTCTCTATAAATACTCCCCTTGGGAGTAGTTATAGGGGTTACAAATCATTCTATTGAAGCATGTTATTGCACTTCTCTCTCTAGCTCTCACCTCTCTCTAGATATACTCTATCACATACTAGTCATACAAATGCAAATTAAGAATATATATACACTTTTATTCCAAAAACTGGAAAATTGCAAATCCTATCCTGCATACTCATATATATAATTCAAGACATATTTACTTTTTCTTTTTTCTTTTTTTTTTTCTTTTTACTTCTTTTGTTCTAGTACACTTATATTTTTATGTAATACGTAGTATGTTTTATCTCCAACTATCGTATCAATTTGATTCAAATGTTTTCTTTTAGTAAAAAATCAAAAATCTGAAATCAAATCGAAACAAACTGAACCAATCAAACCATAATTTCAAGTTTTGAAATGTAAAACCGAACCAAAATTGAATCAGATTTTTAGGGAAAATAATCAAATGAACTTGTTAAGACATGAGGTTCCATCGTAAAAGGCCAACCCTGATAGGAGGAGCAGCTCATGTCTTAATATAGCACTTTATTCCTTCACAAGTTTCCGGTGTGGGAATTTAACACCCCTTCTCACGACCAGACACTTTGTGTGGATCGTGTCGTAATACATTTTTTTTCGTCGGTTCGTCATTGTTATTTTTTATAATCCTGTCGTCATTTTTCATAAGAGGACCCATACCATGGATCGATTTGGATCTGATACTATGTTAAGACATGAGGTTCCATCGTAAAAGGTCAACCCTGATAGGAGGAGTAACTCATGTCTTAATATAACACTTTATTCCTTCACAAGTTTCCGGTGTGGGAATTTAACAGAACTCTTCTATTATTTTCAATTCATTATTTAAGTCATTATACTAAAGAAAACATCATGTAAGTGTGTTTACTTTAAAATACAATCAATGAGGTTACTTCTTATAACTGACATTTAAAAAATTTGAATATTGACAAATCTTATAAAAATTCATATATTTAAAAAAATAATGTAATAGTAATATAAAAAAAGGCACAAATGTAAAAATAGATAAATAATTTAAAGTAATAAAAATAAAAAATAAAAACCAAGAAACTGAAAAAATAAAGTAAAAATGTAAAAAAATAAAATATAAAATGTAGAAACCTTTTAAATAGATGTGGAATGTATAAATAATTTCAAAATTTTAAAAAGAGTGACTTTGACATTACAATTTTTATCTATATTTTTTTCAAATTTTAACATTTTAAGACTTTTTAATATAAAAACCCGCTATTCCAAGTCAAAACTCAATAGATGGCAAAATTGATCAATTTTTTATAGTAAATGTATTTACATGATACTCCGAACTTTTCTAGTACAAGAATTAAGTGATAGAAATTTGGAAATAGTATAAGATCATATTTGATCATTTTCTCAGGTTTTTGCTTTGATTTTGTATTTGTTTTGGTCAAAATCGAATTGAAAAAATCGAACTCACCCCATACAATTGGTAAGATTTGCCATTAATCTTTATTTTGATTTATTTAAATGTGTGTTCCAAAAAATACAACTATACTAAACTACGTAGTATTGTCATTAGAAGCATCATCCTTCAAAATTTCCCTAAAACCTCTGTACTGGGCAACTTTGGGAGAAGGGAGTGAGAACTGAGAGGGAGACGTCCAGCTCGAAGCCCCCATAGTTCCGCTCGTCTTCAGGCTCGCTACTAGAAAGAATAGGTTAAAGCCGGAGGTTAGGAATGTCATCGACGCTACTTGAGGTGACGCGGGCGTCGCACGAGGAGGTAGAGCGATTCGAGCGGCTAATCGTGAAGGATCTCCAGAACGAGCCGACCACCAACAAGGACCGCCTCCACCAGAGCCACCGCGTTCGCAATGTTATTGATCAAATCATTGAGACCACGCACAAACTCGTAGTTTCCATATACACTTTTAGCTCAAAATTTCCATATGCTTACTTAGGTTACACATTATCTTTGTTAAGCTAATCAGCTAATCCTCTTTTCTGTTGCGGAGCAGGTTGATATTTACGAAGATAAAGATGGTGCCAGGAAGGATGAGATTGCAGCCCTGGGAGGACAGGCGGACACTGTATCTACGGTGTTCAGTGCTTTTTATGACAGATTAAAGGAGGTAAACGTCAAGGTTACTGTACTTCTAAGTTTTTATAGTTTTACTCCATGGGTATTTATGAAAACAGGTATTATTACAATTTGTTCAAGTCAAGAGTGTATTATGAGCATAGTATTGCTTAAAGGTGATTAAAATTGTTACATAATTAGGACTAAAACATGTATCATATTCTCAAATAGGATTGCTATCTTTTTATTCCTGAAACCCGGGTCACTCACCCTTAGAAGAACTATTCTTTTTTTTTTGAGGTTTCATTACTCTCAGAAAATAATGATGGTCCTATATTTAAGAACTCGGTATATCTTTTAGTCCTATCTTGTGCAATTTATAGTGACAAAACTTGTGCGTCTAACCTAATAACCTATGCATATGTGGTCCAATGTTTAGATACGTGAATACCATAGACGGCATCCTACTGCACGTGTTGTTGATACCAGTGATGAGTATGAACATCTTCTCAAGGAGGAGCCACAAGTTGAGTTCAGCGGGGAAGTGAGTGTTCCTTTTTCTTCTATATGTGCAAGTATTTTTACATACATACACATTTTGATGACTTGTTGCAGCACTTTAGTGCCTATAATATGTAGAGTACTACTTATGAATCCGGTTATTGAAGTATTTGTTGTTTAAAAAAAGGAATAATGATCGTATCACCATGTTATGATAAAACTTTGTAGTTTAAACGTAGGAGCAACTGCATTGTTTGAGAAATAGTTTTCTACTTGGAAAAAACATTTGTTCACAGAAAATAACAATGCTTTGCTATGTCTTTGCTGAATTTTCTGTTTGAGATGTAGTTATTGCTTTTAGCATACCCTATGCAAGCACCTAGAGAAGGAATGATTTATTGATGTAAGAAATTATGAATGTGGTGTTATATAGTTGGAGAAAGATTTGAATTTGGGTCAACACTTTTCCTTGAATTTATGATTTCCCTGTTCATAGCCTTGTAGTTTATTATTTCACCATCACCAACGAGTCCACACTATATGGTTCCAAAATTCTCAACCGATGTCCAATGAGTGTACATTTTCCATCAAATTCCACATATTTATCGGTTTTTGCATTTGAGAATCTTACATGTTTCTATATTATCATTTAGTCTGCATGTTTAGCTTTAATAGTTCAGTAGAAACTTATAGTAGTTGTGTTCCATCTTTCGTTGGCCTAGTTAACTTGTATTCTGATGTAGGAGGGCTCTGGGAGATACCTTGATTTGCATGAGCTGTATGGTGAATATATTAACTCCAAATTTGGTGAGCCAATTGAATATACTGCGTATCTTGAGGTCTTCTCCAAACCTCAACTAATTTCTCGTAAGCTGAAGTCAACAAGGTAAACTCCCTCTCCCTCTCTCTGTTATTCAAATATTCAATAGATGTTTGGGGGGTCATAATTCCTATATGACCTATATGACCAAGAGAGTAGGGCGTAGCAGAAGATCTCTTGGGTGGTCTGGTCTTCTTCCAAGTGGCCTTTTCCAGCATGGGGTCCTTGGCGTTGTTGGTGTGTATGATAGTAGTTGGGAAAAGCCATGGGCTTGTCAGAGGTGGCATCGTTGGTGTGTATGCTATGCAAGTGCCAACTGAACTGTCAGCCTGCCATTTTGAGGCCATGGATATGACATTAGAAGAGGACCCCTGTCTCTAGGTCTTGTAATGTATAGGAAGCCGGATAACAACTGGCCCCTGGTTTCCCCCCATCTTCTTCATCCTTAAATCACAACTGAAGAAACATTCTTATGCATGTGGTATTTTCAGAGCACAGAGTGGAATTTTAAGTCTTTGCTTGTCAACAAATCACCTTCTTTTATTTCTCAATTGTCAATGAATTGTGCACCTATATATAGCATGTTTCCTACCACCACCTATGATTTCCTGTTTTTATGAACACTGCAATTTTTTTCCCAACAGGCAGTACTTGGAGTATTTGCAGAAGTTACTTGAGTATTTGATATACTTTTTTCAGCGGACAGAGCCTTTGCAGGACATTGATAGGATATTTTCAAAGGTCTGTTTTACCATTTTTGCTCTTTTCCCCAATTTGTAATGCAATTGCTCTTAATCTCCCCATTTGTATCAGAACCACCACATGTGGTTATATCTTGACACATCGTCGATGGGTAGAACACTGTCTCACAAGAATCTGGAACCAAGCTACATCATGGTTCTAATGTGATACATTGCTGTTGTCCAGAATTTTATTCATGTCATTATCTAATCCTTTGTCATTTAGCTTCATATATGATTCTAACACTGTGCCACAATTTGGAGTCCTTTGTAAGCTAAAATGTCATGCGTATACCTCATGATCATGTTTTCTTGATGGGAATGAATTTCTAGGATAATGAAAGGGGACAATGAGTACTTTTTCTCCTTGTTTTTTTCTTTTGGAATTTCAGGAGCTATCCTTCTTGATTTCTTCTTTCGCAGCTTCATGAGTTTTCCTTCTTGATTTAAATGAAGCAGTCCTAGCATATCACATCCTAAATAGATAAGCTAATGAATGCATTAAAATTAAATTAAAATAAAATCACTCAACAATACTTTAGTAAATCAATCAGCTATATCACTCCTCAATCTTATACTTGATTAGTTGATTGCTCTTTTATTCTTTCCATAATTTATAATGTAACATGGCTAAATAAGTTTCTTCTATTCTCCAATTGACCTCCTGTCGGTCAGCTATGGTGGATCAGTGTGATTCACTTTCTTTATGCATTTAATTTTCAGAAGTTGTTTTTCAATTACTGTAGCTTGATGGTGAATTTGAAGAGCAGTGGACTATTGGTAAGTTTGAAGGATGGGAGAATGAATCTCAAGAAAATGGTAGTGCTACAAAAGATCATACTGTGATTGATCTAGACTATTACAGTACCGTTGAAGAGTTGAAAGAAGTGGGCCCTGATAAGCTAAAGGAGGTATGCAAGCTTTCAGTGTTCACATATACTTTCTTACCATCGTAATACTTGATCAAACTTCATGGGTTCACCTCTTTATTCGTGGTAGGCATTAGCTGCACTGGGATTGAAGTCAGGAGGTACTGTACAGCAGCGTGCTGAAAGACTTTTCCTTACAAAGGTTAGGTTGCTAGAATGCTAGATATTGTGATCATTATATACATAATGCATAGTAACTATTTTGGCATGAGATTTTGTTATTTTGACAGGTACAGGTAATAATTTGTATCCCCCTCCCACTCATGTTTATTTTGATCAGTTGGTTTAGTACACAAGTACACAACTACCCATATATTCACGTTGTTGAGTTCTGTTTGCAGCATACACCTGTTGAAAAGTTGGACAAGAAACATTTTGCAAAAAATTATCAAGGTTCAGTGCAGAATGGTGGTGTTTTTCTTCCACATCTAACCGAAGATGCAAAAGCTGTTGCATTCATGGAAGCAAAAATAAGAAAGCTATGTGATCTCCTGGATGAGGTCTGTTTATCATAAATGCTTATATTGTAGGACACTAGGACTGCAACGAGGCACTTCTATAGTTTTAGACTTTTAGAGGAAATAACCTAATGAACCATTGTTACTCACAGTATCTTTGCTTACCATGCAGACAATTGTTCGCACTAAGGAAAATGTTGAGAAGAAACAGGCTCTGACATATGAGGAAATGGAGGCTGAACGGGAAGAGGTAATTCTTAGACTACCCTGCTGAAGGAAAAATTAACTTAAGTCTGGACAAAAATAATCTGTGGAAGTCAAAACTGCTATTATGGTAGTACCTACATTGTTGTGTGGGGGGTGGGGTGGGGGGGTGGGGGTGGTATCAAGTTTTTTACAAATTCTGTAATTGTATCTTTTTTATACCAATACCTTTAAGGCATGTTTCGTATTGGTACCAATTATTTCACTCGTATCTAATGTCTAATGGTACCATACCTCCTATAAACTGTATATTTTTGCACCAAATTCTATGCCTAAAATCTTGAGAAATATGCTGATATGTTAGTTCTTTTTTGTTTCTAAAATCACAAGTGTAGCTATAGACATTTACCAATATATTTGTACATGCTAGATAATTTTAGGAATATCATGTACTCATGTGTGTGTCTACATCAATATTGGAATTAATTAACAGATATACCTCAATGTTTATGGATATTTAAAAATGGTTCAACAATTTGTCATTCTTAATTTTTGTTTGAGTTACTTACTTGAATGTTTGGAGTATCCAAATATATAATTATTGGTACCAAATGGATACAAATTGAAGAACTGATACTAATTTGATACTACCCCTACAATTACTGATACCAAACTGGTCAAAGACCCTCCATCGTGTTAGACCTCCACCACATAATAAAAAGAGTAATGCTTCACCATAGTACAACTTCGTAATTCAAGGGAGGTTTTTTTAACCTGGTAGGCAAATCACTAAAATCAGTGGGGTAAATGCCGGAGAACATTTACTAGGGATTTATTAAAAAAGAAACAGGTACATAAAAAGAAATGATTAACTTTTTTGGGACACTTCGTTATTTAGAAGTGCATTAAATTTTATTAAATTTAGTTTAGTTTGTTTGTTCAAATAAGACTCCTTTTTAAATACAGTAAAATAATAAAATCTCAAATAGGGCTTTTTTTGGGACAGATGAGTATAGGATTATGTTATGTGTCATCTGCAAACCGCTCGTTACCATCTGTTGCAATACTAAGTAGGATATGGTTCATATATTCAGTGTTATGCTCTACATTGCATTGCTCATGTGCAAGATGACATTCCATAGCAGATGCACTTGTAATTTGTTTTTTATTAGTTTTCAAAACACATCATCTTCTGCTGGCAATTTCTAACAGGAAGATGTACAAGCAGAGTCAGAGAGTGACGATGATGAGCAGCAGATTTATAACCCCTTGAAGTTACCTATGGGCTGGGATGGGAAACCTATCCCATACTGGTTATATAAACTTCACGGCCTTGGTCAGGTAAATTGTAGTTGGTGTGTTTTGTTAGGGATGTTATCTACAAGACTACAAGTCTACAACCATGAGTTCCTAAGATTCCCAGTCTCAGTCTTACAGTTCAGCATGGTCCAATCGATCGCCCCTCATTGCAATTATCATGATCCCTCAAAAGCTATGATAGTATTAGCTTTCGGATGATAAGTGTTATAAATGAGTTGCACATATTGATAGTTATAAGGGTAGTTTAGGATATCCCTGTGATTAGTTAAACCCTAGTATATATTCTGTGTTATGTAACCATATATGTGATATGAAAAAACATGAGAAATTTCCCGAAATAAGAGTAAATAAACAAGTTTTGTAATTCCAAAACAGGACTGCTGTGTTATTCTTGGAGTTTTTCCTTGAATATTACTAAATTAAAGTCAATTTCCAACAATGTGACCACATTTACATTTGGACAAAAATGTGACTAAGATGATTATATACAACAACAACATCCAAGCCTTAATCCCAAAAGATTTTGGGGTCGGCTAACATGAATTGATTTATGTATCGATGCCAAAAAGAGAAGACAAACAAGAAGAAGAAAAAGAAAATGAAAAAATAGTAAGATAAAGATAAATAAATATAAAATAAAAATAACATAATAATATAAGAAAAATAAAAGATAAAAAGATAAAAGAGCATAAAAAGCTTGAAGATATAAAGCATAAGAACATAAAAAGATAAACAAACAATTAAGCAAAAAGATAGAGGAAAGATAGAAAAGAGATCAATCGTCCACACGAATGTGCGCCTTCTACTTTGCTCTCTCCAAAGCCATACTCTCATTCAACCCAAGAAGACGCACATCAGTTCTGATTCCTCTAGTCCATGTCTGTTTGGATCTTCCCTCCCTCTCCTCTTTGTCTCTTCTTCCCACCCCTCAAGTCATCTAACAAGTGCATCACTCGATCTTCTAAGCACATGCCCAAAGCCCAAACCACCGCAAACGAGACTCCTACATCTTATCTTCTACAAGTGCTACTCTCACTTTTTGTCTGATTATCTCATTCCTCAAGCGGTCTTTTCTGGTATGTTCACACATCCAACGCATCATACGCATCTCTGCCACACTCATATTTTGAATGTGACATTGTTTCACCGCTAACACTCTACGCCACACTAATGCAAGCCTAATTGCTGTTCGATAAAATTTACCTTTTAGTCTAGTCGGCATACTGCGATCACATATAAATCCTGATGTACTCTTCCATTTCATCCACCCAGCTCTGATTCTATTGGATACATCTCCATCTAATTTCCCATCCTTCTGAATTATGGAGCCCAAGTAACAAAACATTCACTGCGTATTGCGTAATCATGGCGGATTTTTAGAATTGCATATTGCGTAAGCCTCATTGCGCAATGAGGCGTATATATATATATATATATATATATATATATATCAAAAAACATTATTCAAGAGAAACCAACAAATAAATAACTGAAAAAAATATTGATAAGTTGAAACTTAATCAAAGGATATTAATAAAATATTAATAGTCAGAAAATTAACATTACTAATTAGTGTTTAAGTGAATAGAAACAAAAAGGCATCAACAGAGAAGCATAAAAAAGAGTACAGAGTTGAAGTTATCATTATATAATATATATATATATATATATATATATATATATATATATATATATATATATATATATATATATATATATATATATATATAAACTGGGAAAAAAATATTGGTCTCTTGAAAGTTGAAAATTTAACTGAAGGAAAAACAAAGTATTAATAGGCAGAAAATTAACATTGATATTAAGTACTCCGTATCAAATTCAATAGAAACAAAAACTAAGCATAAAAAAGAGGAGTACCGCAGATTGCTACCAAACTCTGCTGATTGCGACCAAACTGGAAGAAGGCTCTGCTGATTGCGACCAAACCGGAAGAAGGCTCTGCAATTTGCGCCGAAATGTTGATGGCTGTGGAAGGAACTGCTAATTGCGTAGCATTCCGAATGGGAAGAAGCGGCGTATACAATGGAACTGCCAACTTGCTAAGGCCGTATATAAGTAATAAGTGGGCCCAGCGGACCAAACTTAACATTGACCCACTAAACAAATATCCTACGCCTTATATATGCCTCATGGTGCAAGTTAAATTGCGTACACCTTAGGCTTAATAACGTACCCTGTAGATGGCATCGCAATATGCAATGCAATATTACGCCTCAGGCTGGGAAATAGCAGATGCGCGCCTCAAGGCGCAATTGCATTGTGCAATTGCGAACGTTGATCCCACTGTTGCTACTACTTCTACCTCCACCAAACTAAGATGGTTATATATTTGGAAAAAGTAAAGTGACTACCAAATATCCATGTCCCAATTTTCATGTCACTATCATGTGATTCACATCACTGCGACCTTGTCACTGCCGCCGCTGGTCACCGCCGGTCACCGTCGTCAGTCATAGTGACACACTGACACCACCACAGTTACACCACTGACAGTGAAGCAACCCCAGTGACACGCTGTCTCCGGCCCCAGTGACACGTGACTCCAGCCACAGTGGCACCGCCACAATTCCACCACCACCTCCGTGTCAGGTGGCCAGCCGCCCTCCCCCTCTATGCCATCTTGTAGTCATTACTGACAAATAGTTGCAGTACTAGGCATTCAACATAACAACATTTATTACGAAGTACTTCCTCCGTTCCATAAAAGTTGCAACATTGTAATTTCTGCACTATTCACACACCTTACTTTGACTACGATTTTCTAATAATATATATAATAAAAATATTATGTATAAAATATTAATAAATTTGTATTAATGTAAATTTCCAATATATTAACTTTTTTTAATGTTTACTAATACGTAAATAAATATAATTACAGTCAAAGTTGCGCGTTGGCAAACGTGAAAGTCAAACTGTTGCAACTTTTATGGAACGGAGGATAGTATCATTTATGGCAGTATTTTTCAGTCATGCCAATAACGACTCTTATTTCAAGAAGAAAAAGACAACAGTTATATTTTGGAATTCCAAAAATTGTTTACTCCTATTTAGGGCAATATCCCCCAAAACTTTCTCCATCAGTATTGCCCCTACATTTTTGTCTCCCATCTTCAACATCTTTGTCATCATATGTTCATTTAATTTACTAATTAACAATAGTTGATGAGTATCATATGTTACATTTGATGTGATATAGCATGCAGCCTAACGCAACTAGTTGGGAGCCCTTATCCGTATTTATTACACATTCCTTTTCAAAACAGAAAATTGAGAACTTATTAAGAAGGAAACGAAGAGGAAAATTGTAATTACCTAATAACCTGCCTTTACTCAACGTATCTTTTCGCCATGTCTAACCATCCCTCGGTTTATATGCCAAACTGGTTCTTCCACCGCTTCCATATGTCCCATAGGAGATCTTTTAGTGTTTTATTTCAATACTTGTTGTTTATCACGTTCTTAATTGTATTTATGTTTTTGTTGGCGTTTATAATGTGTTTTAGGAATTTAAGTGCGAGATATGTGGAAACCACAGTTATTGGGGTCGTAGAGCATACGAAAGGCATTTCAAGGAATGGAGACATCAACATGGAATGCGATGCCTTGGTATCCCAAACACAAAGAACTTCAATGAGATAACATCTATTGAGGTATCTTCTTTTAACCTACCCCTCTTGCATACCACCCTCACTAGCCATCGGTTCTTTCTCAATCGACTGAACAACAGCTAGTGAGAAGATATTAGTCCCCAGCCCGCTGATGTCTTCAGTTGCGGACATGGGACATTTTAAGCTTCTCATGTGAAAAAATGTGTTATGCAGGAAGCAAAACAACTTTGGGAAAGAATCCAGGAGAGACAAGGAGTTAACAAATGGCGCCCAGATCTTGAAGAAGAGTATGAAGACCAAGAAGGAAACATCTATAACAAGAAGACATTTACAGATCTGCAAAGGCAGGGTTTGATTTAGAGGTTAGTTTTTTTTTTTTTTTTTTTCTTGAGTGGGATGTATAACATTTTTGAAAGAATTTGTAAACCTGGCAAGTGTGCTCTGCTACTTGTACAATTGTACTTTCAGCAAACCAAAGTGCCAATCTTTCATGATGATTTGATGTCATCTTGCAGTTTTCTTAAGCATCTTAGTAATTTGCATTTGGTGCATGAGGGAGGACAATGTTTGTACTTCGTAGTGTAGCCTGGATTCCCTAGTGCACCCAGAGGAGGCACAATCTGTTAAATCTATCAAGAGATGCATATGAGTTTTCCTGCATTCTTTTTCTTAATCAAGTGTTTCAACATTTGTAGCCATTCTATCACTAGATGAGGACTTTACTGGAAATGAGGAGTTCTGAACTTGAAGTTGCTAGTTATGGTTTCCATATTTTCATGTTTTGCTTTCATACATTTCCAAGTTCTGTTGGGTTGGGTTAGTGATGTACAAGTATTGCGCTGCGTAGCTTATCAACTACGGAAGGACTGAGGCAGCATGCATCTCATTAACATATGTTTTACCCTGCAAAGTTATGTACACAAGTATTAGTGAGACTTTGTAACAGATGTTTACCCTGCAAAGTTAAGTACTAATGTGGCAGTAATTAGTACCTTATATTTCACTTGTATTCCTTTGATTATAGTGGCATTAACACATGGTATTAGATTTTTAAAATATTCCATTTATTGATTTGAGGTTTAAATAATTAAATATGTTTTTAGTCGCTACAAATATATTACATTGTTTGCATTTACGCGAAGTTACTTTTTTGTTATTCATCCCTGAAACTTGTTTTTAGTCTATCACTCTATCCTAAATCCTAATGATATTAACATCCGTTTGACAATGAAGCAGCCTCGATTAATAGGTTTCCTATAATTCTGTCATGTTATTCAAAATATATTTAATTGAGTACTACGTATTTTAGAAACGTGTATAATTAGTTTTGCACTGTTTTAACTTTCATATTAGGATGTTTTTACTTGGATTGTTTTCAGTCCCAGACTGAACTTAAACAGAGCAGACTAAACTAGACATTCGCAGTTATAACTTATAAAATACACAAATATCAACATTTACTAGACCAATTCAAACCGGGACATGCCGTATCAGACTTAAACAGATCAAATTAGAATATCAAATTTAAGTCTAAGTAAAAACATCTTTATTCTCAAGAAAATTATAAAAAATAAATTTAAAAGCTTCTAGTAGATTTATGTAATTCACAATAACTACTTTTCTAAATATAGTGATTTCAGAGTTAGAGATCGATTAAAACAAAGCGTGTTATTTCTAAAGAAAATTATCAGTGGGCTCAATTGCTCAAAGCTTCAAATGTTGACATTAGGGGTGGACAAAAATACCGAAAAATCGGTATACCGTAATTACCGTAGCGAAAAATACCGGAAATACCGGAATATTGATATACCGTCATTTTCGGTACGGTATCATACCGTACCGATTTATTTCGGTACGACAACGGTAAATATTTTCAAATACCGCGGTATACCGGTATAATTCCGTATCGACTCTCTACCCAACAATTACTTTTAATTCTAAAATATTGTAAAAAATCCATTACAATTTCAAAGCCCAAATTAATATTATCTCCGTCCCATAAAATTCTTCCCACTTTGACTTGGCACGGAGATTAAGAAAGTGGAAGAAAGTAGAAATGTATGGTTGTGGTTGTGTAAGAAAAAGGTGAAATAAATGTGAACCACACAAATAGTCCAAAAATGGTAAGCGGGAAGAATTTTTTGGGATAGCCCAAAAAGGAAAGTGGGAAGAATTTTATGGGACGGAGGGAGTACTTAGGTTGGTTACAAATACCAAAATACAAAAATAAAGACCCAATTTCCCAAATTCACTATAACCTTCTAGACTTCGACAACGTAACATTCAAACTAACCTTAATGACTAATGAGTAATGTATTAATGTTCAGAAACAAGTTCCTCTTGTTCCAAGAGCTTGTGAGTCACGATGGCTGAAACACTGAGTAGTTGACGAGTGAAGAGGGATAACATATGTGACGAGTGCATCTACATAAGGATTCTGAGAATCAAGACACAACTTTATCTAAAAATCTTATTCAAATATTTTTTAAATTATAAAAATGAGTTAATACACAATATCATATTAGGAATCAATGATTTCATATTCATATTTTTTGAATAATTTTATTTATTTTTGTTAGAGATCACTATTGATTTAATTATATCTATATTGTTCAAGTTATTTTAGGAGAATGTGTTATTTTTTAATACGTGACATGTTGAATTACTTTTTTTGGAAGATTAAACTACTTAAATATACTAATAATAATTATTGTTCAATATTAAATTGACATCAATAGATTTTTTTGTCTAATTGACATCAAGAGATTATTAATTGTATTTTGTAACATGTTAATAATAGATTAAATATGTCGCTAGTCACAACGATTTAGTATATTTCATTAGTCTATGATAATTTGTTGTATTGAGAAACATGCATGGTAATTTACCGATAGCGTACCGTTACCGAACCGAGACTTCGGTATACCGGAATGCGGTATACCGAAACTTCGGTAAGGTAACGGTATATAAATTTTGTGTACCGAAAGTTTTGGTACGACAAAGGTATTAAAAAAAATATTCGGTATACCGTACCGAACCACCCCTAGTTGACATGTATATAATTGGGACTTGGGAGAGGGGTTACAAATATGGGACTTATGTATATAATTGAGACTTTGGTTGGTCTCGTGGTGGGAAATTTGGAATAAGTGACAAAGGTTCGAAACCCGCAACGGCCGTGTGGAGGTTACATCTCCTGCTAGGGTTGGATTCGGTTTGGGCCACCCGGCCCGTGACCCGGCCCGGCCCGTGACCCGGCCCGGCCCGGTACTGTGCGGGCCCGGGACCGGCCCGGTCGGGCGGTCCGGGACCGGGTCTGGGCCCGAACCGGGGGGAAGGGGCGGGGCGGGTTCGATTCAGCATTTTTGTGACCCGGCCCGGGTCCGGTTCAATTTAATTTTTTTTTTAATTTGGGCTCCTACTAGCCGTTGGGGGTGGGGCTGGGGACAACCCAAACGGCTATATAGCCGTTGGGTGGGGTAAAGGGGGGGTCGGGGGGGGGGGATTGGGTGGTGGGGGGGTGGGGTGGGGGGTGGGGGTGGGGTGGAGACTCCTGCGTGCTGGGCTGAACCTCTAGTGTGCACGGGTATAAGGCATACCACCATTAGAACGACTGAGTCACCGTGATTAACATCCTCCCAAAAACCCTGTCGGGTCGGGGCTCCTGGGGTGGGAGATTTAACCTTTTGGAACAAGGGACTTTGGTTGGTTACTTGACTGGCTTGTCCAGTCTAGTTCCTTCGGCTTCATCTCTTCTTGGTACTCGATACTCGAAGTGAAGGATAAGGGAATGTAATATTCTCATGGAAAGTAACAGCATGGATCGGTTTGGTGTCGGTTTTACGCCGAGAACAACCGGTCTTTGCTAAGAATTGGGAGATTCGGGATTGACTCGTTATAATCAGGTCTCAAGTCGGGTAGAGTTGACCGGCCACTTCCCTCTCGGTTCTGATTTCGAATCTCTTCCCCAAGTTATCTAATAATTTAATACTTCCTCCGTTCTTTAATTCTTGCAACATTGTGATTTTGCACTAATCACAGACCTTACTTTGACCACAATTTTGAGATTTTCTACTAATATACATAATCAAATTATTACGTATAAAATGTTACTCCCTCCGTCCCATAAAAATAAGTCCCACTTTCCTTTTTGGTCCGTCCCAAAAAATTGTTCCCATTTCCCTTTTTGGAAAGTTTTGTGTGTCTAACATTCATTTACCTTTTTCTTACTCAACCACAACCATACATTTCTACTTTATTCTCATTTTCTTAAACTCCGATCAAAATTGAAGTGAGACTTATTTTATGGGACGGAGGTAGTATTAAATTCCTATCAATGTGAATTTCCAAAATATCAAATTTTTATAATGTTTACTAATACATATATAAATATAATTACAGTCAAAGTTGTGCGTTGGCAAACGTGAAAGTCAAAATGTTCGAAGAATTAAAGAACTGAAGTAGTATAAATAGTATAAATAAAGATAGTGTATAAATCAGCAATTCCAGAACATCGGTTTTCAAGAGTGGGAAAAAGCTAAATCTATGTGACGGCATTCAGGCTCATTTAGCAACTTGTGCATCTCCTAAAGTTGTTGATGAAGTTAGGAAATTCCCTTGCAAGGTGTTGCTTAATGAAGTGTCCCGTTTGAGTACCTGGCCTCTTCAGTTCCATGAGTTTGGAGTCAGAGAAGATAACATAGCCTTCTTCTTTTTTGCAAAGGACCTCCTGAGTTATGAGAATAATTACAGAGTGCTGATTAGGAATTTGATGAAGCATGACCTAGCTCTTCAAGGGAACTTTGGAGGCATTGAGCTGTTGATATTCCCGTCGAACCAGCTTCCCGAAAAATTCCAAAGGTGGAATATGATGTTTTTCTTATGGGGCCGGGCGTGTTCAGAGGGAGGAAGGTGAATGAAAAAGCACTGACCAGAGACATTCCCAGTGCTTCACAAGTATCTAAATGTGCATCTTCACATACAGAGGTTGTTGAATCTCCAAACACTGTGCACGACACAACTTTGTGTGGTGGAGAGTTATGTAAAATTTGGAAAACAATAGAAATACTACAAATTTGAATTGACTTTTACATTTAGAAAACATTATGTAAAATTTGGAAAACAATAGAAATACTACAAATTTGAAGTATGCATAATACATACTCCCTCCGTCCCATATTTAACTCCGGTTTTGACCGGGCACGAGTTTTAAGATAGTGGGATTTGTGTGGTGGAGAGTTATGCAGAGGAGAGAGAAATGTGTAAGAATGGTTGTGAACCAAATATTCTTTACCAAAAAGGGAAAAAGGAGATAAATTTGGGACGGATCGAAAAGGAAAGAATGAAGATAATTCCGGGACGGAGGGAGTATAAGGGAGAACGATCAAATAAGCCATCTAACTTTCATAAAAAGCGCAAATAAGTCATTTTACAAGAAACTTTGTCCGGCTGTCGTCATTTGGGGCGGTTTCCAGTGGAATTGTTTGATGATTTTTTTGAGCATCTTCTACATTAAGTCTAGTTTACCCATGTCAAATTTCAGTTAAAAATTCAATCGAGAAGGCAGTCAAATGAATTTCTGAAATTCACTGCGCTGCCTAACTGAGCAGTTATCTTCAAAAATTCATTTGACTGCCTTCCCGATTGAATTTTTAGCTGAAACTTGGCATGGGTAAACTAGATTTAATGAAGAATATGCTCAAAAAAATTCATCAAAAAATTCCACCGGAAACCGCCCTAAATGGCGACGGCCGAACATAGCCTCCTATAAAAGGGCTTATTTACACTTTTTATGAAAGTTCGAGGGCTTATTTGTTAGTTCTCCTTACATATAATTACTTGTGTAAATAAGTAATTGCTAAAATATCTATGTATAAAGCAATACAAAAAAATCTACATACAAAATAAATAATCTTAAATAATATCTAAGTAAACAATTACATTGTAAATATATTCATATATTATACACATAGTATATGAATATAAATGTAAAGATGAAAAATATGTGACTAGAGATAATGAGAGATTAGAAGTGTAGGTTGTAGAATGAAGGTGTAAGATTTACGATACTTGACCGTCGATTGAGACAATTACTACTACGTACCTCCGTCCCACTATATTAAATATATTATATTTTGTAATCATACACTACTTTTTCACTTTGTGTTTTCTTCAACTGAAATTACTATTACCTCCGTCCCACTAAGATCGGGACAATTCGATTTACGATGATTGACCGACAATAAAGCAAACAGATCCCTGTCCGCAATCAAATTATTTTTAGGAAAAAAATTATATATTCAGAAACTACATTAAAAGCTTTACAAAGTCGCAAAAAGAAGAATCAAATTTGATAAAAATTTGATATATAAAGTAAGAGATTAAGAGTGATTTGTGTTGACCAAGTGAATAGGAACTGGGATAATCTTAGCGGGACGGAGGGAGTATCAAATTTAGTTTTAATGTAACATTTTTTACATTTAAACACTTTTTTTGTAAAATAATTTTCATATTCATACACTTTTTATAAAATATATTTCTTATCTCTTTTATACATATTTTTAGTGTTTTAAGACATTAAGTTTGTTTATTTCGATTTAAACTTGATAAAACATGAGATTACATTTTTCATATGTTTTTGTTATTTTTATAGATAATTTCTAGAGTTATTGATAGTATATAAAGATACATCTTTTTATGCACGAGTTGTATCATTTTATGCGTGAGTTGCATCTTCTTGCATTTGAACTTGTTTCAACAAGTTACATTGTGCATACACCTAAGTTAATTTTTCTATCGATGTGAGTTACATTTTCCATAACAAGAGTTAAATCACAAAATAAACCCCCTATTGAAACAAGAAGTTCTAGAAAAAAATGGCAAAAAAATGATTAAAAAACAAAACATATTCATTAATCATTATTTACGTAAAAGTAATTGAGCAATTAGACTATTTTTTCATTGTTTACATTGAAATAAATGTTTTATTTCTTATTGTTTGTTATAGACAAGTTACATTTCGGCTTGCTTGTAATTACATTTCTTATTAACGTGAGTTACATTTCTTTACACGCGAGTTACGTCACTCTGCTACTGAAACAAAAAAAAAGTTATTGTTCACGCATGTTACTGTTCACGCGTGTTTCGGGCATATATAGGAGCACCAAGTTCATCATGGGCTGCTCCTACAGTATAATAACTGAATTTCCACTGGCCACGACAATTAAATCGGCTAGGAAATCCCGTTGACCCTGCGGTAGGTACCAACTACATCACCACACAATTGGTTAGAAGCACACTTTGAGTCTGACAAACTTCAACTAAACACAGTAGAATAAGGGGAGAAAGGCATACTGTAAAGTCAAGCAAACCACCTTCTCCCCTCACCCTACTATTTTTGTATACATCTCTATGAGGAAACTGTTTACTTTAATCATTCATTCGGTCACAATGAACAACAAATCTATACAAAATGCCCCCTCCCCCAATAAACAACCAACCAACCCTCTACCTATGGTAAGCCTATAATTTATAAAACAGCCCCCCCCCCCACCCCCCCACCCCCGCATCAACAAAAACTAATTAATAGATGAGCTAATACGCCAGAGAAGAGGCAAAAACTGGTATGCACGGATGTATGACGCCGGGAAGGCAATCCAGATGGTTAGAGCTCCTTGAGGAGAAAAAGAGCACTCACTCACTCACTAAGCCTAATTCATGAACTTTCTGCAATTTGGAGCTTTACACAGACAAGGCACTCTGAGCTCGTCACATTCATCCGGATCAAACAAGTAATCATACCTGCATGCACGTAGGAACCCCACAGTGTGAATACACATCATCATTATGAAACTATTATGTCTATACGAAACATTTACGCTGCATGCGTCCATTATCCATCGGTCCATGCACATTCAGCCATTTTTACCACAATACACACAAGTGCTGGCATATAGACACACACGTAGTACACACACATACATATAGGGTGCTGTTCAAATAAAAAGAGCGATTAACGTGAAAAGTGAAAATTTTCACTTTTACTTCGCTACACTGCACTTTTCGATTCTAATTCCACACTTTTTCAAGGTGTCAAAAACGTTCACTTATTTATGAAAATGTCACTGCGTTTTTTTATTTAAATCCGATTTATTGTGGACACTTCTAAAGCTATCAGATATCAAATCCAATGCACGAAAATCATTCTTTTAATTTGACCGAAAACCACTCTCACACACATATATAGGGGAGGGTTCTAGTGAGAACCCCTTTTAAAATGAAACACATTTATGAATGAGAACTTTTAATCTCCACCTATCAAATTTCAAATCAATGGCCAGAAACAACAAGGTGGAATTGCAACTAATTTATAATAAGTACAAAAAACCCCGTTTGGATTTTCAATAATCACAAAAAAACACTGTGTATCCTAACCAATGAATGAATAAAACGAAAACTTGAGATTAAAAGTTCTCATTAGAAAGAGTTCTTTTTTAATATGGGTTCTTGCTAGAACCCTCCCCAAACCCTTGTACTCAATTTTCGTTAATTAATGAAAATTGGTAAATGTTTCCCGCATTTACCCCGCTTATTTTGGTGGTTTCCCTTCTGTAATATAAATAAATATACACAGATGTGTGTGTGTGTGTGTATATGTATATATGTATGTATGTGTGTGTATATATATATATATATATATATATATATATATATATATATATATATAGAGAGAGAGAGAGAGAGAGAGAGAGAGAGAGAGAGAGAGAGATTACGTTAGCTCATCACCAGCAGACACATTTGTCTTTGCAATTAATACAATCCGGCTTTCATCATCACCAACACTCATAATCCTTGCATAGCAGTTTGGCATGCACTGTAAAAACAGTAATAGTAAACTGTTGCTTAACATGCCCATTTAAAAAAACAGTTTGCTAATTCCTAAATAAGAAAATATGGAAGGTCATGATCTTTAGTGGTTGAACCTGGAGCTGAAAACATAAAAGATAAGGGAATGTATATACATATAACATTAATGACAATGGTGATCACTTTCACAAGCAAAACTTACAGAATGGTTTATCAAGCGTGCAATATTCCCCTTATCTGTAGCATCCACCACAACCTCCTCACTTATCTTAAAAAGCTGTAAAAGAAATTGTTGCATCACAGAAGGAAGCGAGATATTTATTTCATTTCATTCTTGCTCTCATGTGCACAAGAGTTTTTGCTTGTCCCAAATATTAATCTCTGAGAATAAAAAAGGGAAAAAGGAGAAAATGATTCAATCTAATACTCACGTAGCAATCTTTTCCCTCAACACGATATTTTGCCTCCCTCAGATCAGCAATACTTCGTCTGACCTGCTCACCGCGATACTCAAGAACCTGAAATGACCAAAAAAAAAAAAAAATTGGTTAGTGAAATTCCTCATTTCATGTACATAAGGGAGGAAGGGTTCAGAATGGATCAAATTATTCATTTCATTTTCATTTCATTTTCATTTACCCCAGTGCCGCAAAGGCTCCCACCTACGGTGGGGTAAGGGGAGGTCGGATGTACGCAGTCTTACCCCTGTGCTAAAGCACAGAGAGACTGTTTCCGGATGACCCATAGTGAAAATCGCGTCCAAAATTGCATGGACTGACCGCTGCTCCATAACAAAGAAGCGCAGACAGTTTAGTGAATCATTTTGCTTTATTCCATCATAATCTCAAGCCAAAAAATAATGAATCTTTGGCTCCATTACAAATAATGGATCAAATTATTGCCATAAAAAAACTGATTGGGATCTAAAACCAAGATGAAACTAGAGCCTGTAGTGAATGCAAGCATCCATTAATTGCCTAAAGCATGTAGTCATTACTCATTACATGATGAAACTAGCATATTAATTACATAACATCCCTCATCCTTTTATAGTCTAAAGAAACTGGAAAAACTGAAAGCCAGAAGGGCTTAACATACACTACCTCCGTCCCAAATTGTTTTGCAAAGTCAACATTTTTTGGTCAACCAATATTAAAGTTAAATCCTCCGTATTGATAATTAATTCAATTCTAATAATTAAAATTTACATATTTAGAAACTACATTAAAATCTCTATAAAATTGCAAAATCCTAATTAAAATTTGATTAAGAATTGATATCTTAATTAAGAGATTAAAATGAGTCCATTTGACCCCAAAAAGTCAAATTTGCAACTCAATTTGGGACGGAGAGAGTACTTTATGATATGACAGATTAGTCAACTGTTCGGCACCAAAGAAGCTTAACAGTGTACCATTTCTCCTTCTGGGATGTTTCGGCGCGCAAACAGGCCCCATCTGTGTATGCCAGATCGGCCAAAGCTAACTCGGTCGTTTTCTGTTCTCTGTAGATCCATCAAAGGGATAACAACCCAAAGGTGAGATATCTTTGATTAGAAAAATCGACTAATGAAGTAGTATTCATTATACAACTTTGAATGCTAGATATTCATGCCTGTAAATGGCGAAGCCGCTCTCTGAAGGTAGAGAATGTCTTGGGCTCCTCCACTTCCTGTCAAAGGAAAAATAAGAAACATCATGCTTCTAAAGCTGAGGGTGGAAACAAAAAAAAGTGCTAAGAAAGTGCAAGTCTACTTTTATTGGATTCAAGCTTTGTAATTTAGCAAAAGGATGACGACGTGGACCCATCACCCGGTGAAATATGGGTTCTTCTCCCGTTCTCTGTAAAAAATGTAGCAAGAAGTTTAATCGATAGTGTTCCATCCTAGAAGAAGATTACATTATATTGTTGTACAAATCAGCATACATAACACTACTTTACATTCTATACATACACAGCTGTAAGATCTTTTACAAATGTCGATTAGCCAGCATATAATAGGTAAATGAGTATCCTTAAGCTATATTCTCAGCACTTCCCTTAAACGGTTGAAAATATAAGCTACATGTCCCAATCTTTTAAAAAACGTAGTCAATTCTAGGACTTATCAATAGCCTGGTGAATATATTAGTTAACTTGTTGAAGAAGAAACAAATAGCGTTATTACATCCATACATAATATTTTCTATAATAATAAAGTGGGAACTGGCAAGCAATTCCAATTTGTTCAGTCTTCGCATGAACCACCACATTTGAAGCTACATGACTTCTTGATTATCATATATTAATGGCATTCCTGTTATAATCTCACATTAATTATTAAAGAAAACTATTTTAGACTTGATAAGGTTACATGTGGCTAAAGCCATAGAACGATTCGCCTCGTTCCATTTGATCTTACAACATCCTACCTCTTACTCTTCCACAAGATGAGATTACAACACACATGAACACCATACAAGATTCAAGTTTCTTGTCTGAGTTCACATATGACGAGGCTATAGTGTCCACTGTCCAAACAATGAAATCCTACTAGCAGCAAAAACTGGTGATCATCAGGACCAAATTCCGTAGGTAGGCTAGCCGGACTTCAATGTAAATCACATAATAGTCCTCACCCCTAATGTGTATGTAGCCCTAACATGCATAAATCCTTTACATCTGAAGAGTATCTCACAAATATAGCTGTAAAGGATTCTTGAAAGCTATCCTCAACAAATCTATAAGATAAATAAATGCAAACAGTACAAGGGTGGCTCTTAAAAGCAAGCCATCTCGAGCATCCATCAGGGCAGTAGATCTGATGGCTTAACTGATATGTGAATCACAAAAAGTGATTTGTTGGCCCGTAACATCAACGTGAGATCTACTAACAGAGACTTCATATTCATTTATTTGCCAATGACAGAGATAGATACTCATCGTCTCTTTCTTAGTGACATTGAAGGTTTAGTTTCTATTTGTGTCAGTTGTGAGTTCAATATACCTTATCCCTCCTTTAAAAAAATACCTTATCCCTCAGTTGCTCATAGGCACGACATCTTGCAGCTGAGAATGGATCCATTTCATCAATCTCAGCTGCTGGAGCTTCCTCAAGTGCCAATCTGCTTGTTGGTACTAAGCGCGAACCTGACTGTTTGGTCTGAGCAAGACTTCTAGCAGAGAAGACTCCTTTCGGAGTATGAATGATTAAAACTGTATCGGGATTTGGCGCCCTGCAAGACATCACAAATAAAACTTAAGGATACACATAGCATGCAAAACTCTCGTTACAAATACACACTCAATAAATCTCAATTTCTCACAAATATATGTTTCATTTTCTCATCAAACAAGAGCAAGTGGAATACTACCTGTGGTATGCACAATAGGAAACCATTTTCGTTACTTGTTTCCCATTTTTCTCCAAGCAATGCAACTGCAGTTTAATGCGTATTGTGAGCAATAATAGAGTTAGTATGTTTTGAACAATGGAGATCCACAAACTCCGGTTGGAACAGAGATGAAGAACACATGCAGACAAGAACCTAATGGTGACTAGTTAAACCAACGTGAAAAATAAATGAGCTGTAATCAGTATATATTTCCAAAAATGGAGTTGCGAGTTGATATTCATTAATCCGAGGAAGGTAATTCTTTGCTTACTATGTTGGCGTTGTAAGATGCAGCATGTATTTTTTTTCAAAAACATTTTGATTGCTTTATTATTATTATTTCCAAATTCGCCCTATACAGAGAGATATTCACTTTTGGCCTTTTCTTTTAGGGAAATTGCCCAAAATAGGAGCAAATGACACTTGGAATTCCAAAAATAGGACTAGTATGTTTTTCTTCCCGAAATAGGAGTTATTACTGTCTTGTATGAAAAATACTGACATGATTGAAAATACTGTCATTAATTATAATAAATACTGTCATGTTAAATGCACTGTACTGCAACTATTTGGCAGTCACGGCTACAAGATGACAGTAAATACTGCCATGTTAGTCCCATTTCGGGAATAAAAACAAAGTAGTCCTATTTTGGAATTTCAAACTTCATTTACTCCTATTTTGGGAAATCTCCCTTCTTTTATTATGACAAGCTCTTAAATATAAATGAATGAATATCTTACATGTATATTTGCATCAGTGCATCAAGCACTCTTGGCACTGTACTTACTATTACAACTTTCCAAATTTACCCTTACACTTTTCCATTTTGTATGTTACATTTTTATTCAATTTTCCATTAGTAATATGTGTGCAATAGTTTTCTAATTTTCTTTCATTTAGGTAATTATGTGTTACGAGCATGATTTGTTTGGATCTCGTTTGATAGTAATACGGAGTAATAATAATATAAGGTTTCTTTGCTTATATCACTATGGTGATATAAACACATCGGTTTGATTGAGACCTTCTTTTAAGCGTTGAAGACAAATATGTCATAAAGCTTAACATGAGATGCGCATTTATTATATTTGCAATTACATATGCATATAAAAAAATTAAAAAAATAGTAAATATTGCTCAATACAATTGACATCTGATCATAAGCACAATCGGATAAAATAATACCATGAAGCAGAGGAAGAGGAAGAACTGCTGATGATTTGGGTAATTGAATAATATGTGTGATTGTGACACTTATATCAAAAACACCCTATTGAACAGCTAAAATGAGCAGTCTAATTATAGACTGGATTATCAGCAGCTATCCACCCAAAAAAAACATCACCTCCATGCGATAACCCGCCCTTGATGCACAAATAGCATGATAGTATGTAGAACACTTGCAACATTGTGTGCAGGAGCCATGTATTTGCTTGCAGACGACACATATCTGCAATTAATAAATATATGATGCTTTAATTTGCGAAGCAAACATCAATACCAAAAACACAATATGTGAAGAAATATCAAAAAGTAACAATTGAAATTGAACTATTTCTAAATCTGAAATCAAATGACAAATAAAACTTAAAACATCATCTAAAAAACATTACTTACTATCATTTTTCTCCCAACTAAATATAATATCGAAATCCATCCACGGTATAAAGAAACAAGTGGAGCTTTTTTGGTAAGTTATGAGACCAAAATTTACCAAAGAAAAATAAGGACCAAACAATCCAGATTGAGGTTTTCCATTTGTACCTTCACGAAAGAGTTTGAAGGAATTCTCAAAATTCCAACAGCTGGTTCCATTTTCTCATCACTAGCAAAGCAAACTTCAGGTTGAAACCAAGCACAAGTAACATGAACCCACAACGGAGCCATGTCTGTGGGTTTTAGAGCACCTCCTGTATTGTGCAGCAACACAAAGTTGGCATATATTTAAGCAATATATACAATATTTTCAAAAACAAATAAATAAAATGAAACAAAAAAAACAGAAACTTTTATTTGCTTTCGATGTATGCTTTTGTTTCAACTGTAATTCAGATATTCTATTACAAATGGATACCCGAAAAAGAATATCTTTAGATTCTATCTACTAAATAAGCCCTTACAGCTTACTTGGCAATTGTAAAGAGAATAGGGAAAACAAGGTAAAAACCAAATCTAACATTGGGAGCTTCTTAGAGTTCAAGAAAAGGCAAACAAAGTGGACCTTTCACAGGACAAAGGCAACAGTCACGCTCAATATCAGGTGTCTCACATGCTCTGCAAACCCATCCTGTAAAATCACGGACATTTCTTGCTCCATAGCATTCTTGATGCACAGCTATTTGACACCTGATCATAGGATTGGTCGGTACAATCGTGAACACCATTACACCACATGCATGTTCAAATTTTACTTCTAAGATTTTCACACGAACATGATCATAAGTTCATAACTGCATGATTTTCAAGAATGTACCAGCAAGCAGAAGACATTATTATTCTTATTTAAAGGAAGACCATTCTTTTTATCAAACCTATTGCATATGATGATTTTGTTATAGTCCCAGTCTTCAACCCATCGACATACTGCACATCTTTCTGTTGTCCACTTTGCATAAACAGGCTCATATTTTTCTATCATATTTCAATATCCTCAAGTTAGTGACTTTATTAGGGATACTGTGAAGTAGGAAAATAGAAAACCAATCTCAACACCGAATAGTACTTACCTTGGAGAAAAGTGAGAAGTTTCTGCTTTCTAACTTTCAAAGATGGACGTTTTATAGGTTTGGATGGAATACCACTCCGTTCATGATACTCTGCTATTTGTAGCATCTGTAAATTGAAAGAGTTAACCTCCTGCTAAGTCATACTCCCTCCGTTCCCAAAAATACTTCCCACTTTCCTTTTTGGGCTGTTCCCAAAAATACTTCCCACTTTCCCATTTTGGACAATTTGTGTGGCTCACATTCATTTTACCTTTTTCTTACACAATCACAACCATACATTTCCACTTTATTCCACTTTCTTAATAAGCGTGCCAAGTCAACCCGGGAAGAATTCCAGGGAAAAAATTTAAAATATAATCTTCATTTTAAAAAGTCAATATACTTTACAAGAGCCATCCTAATCGAGTTAACCTACTATACTACACAAGTTCCTAATATGCTACAAGAGCCATCCGATTTGTAGCATACATAAAGTGAAATAGAGTTAACCTTCTGCTAAGTCATACTACCTCCGTCCCGAAAAGGTTTGCCATATTGACTTATCTTGGTCAATGGTGTCAAACTTTGAACAATGATTTTAATTATTATATTTGCATATAATTTAGGAAAAAGAGTGAAATAAGGCCTTCTACTATTGTGAAATCGTCACATAAGGTCATGTACTCAATAAAGTGTCATATAAATACATCTACTTATAAAAAGAAATCGGATGAGTCCTAATGACATGTTGACAATCTCCTAATCCCGGTTTTAGCGTACGTCTGATCATCATTTTAGAATAGATTATAAGGCAGACGTCGAATATTTAGTTAATATTGGTTGAAATACAAGGCAAAAATATCGACACGTAAGCTAAAATTGGGATTAAGAGGTTATCAACAAATCGTTAGGATTCATCCGATTGCTTTTTATAAGTAGACGTATTTATATGACACTTTATTGAGTACATGATAGTAGAAGGCCTTATTTGACCCTTTTCTCTATAATTTATAAGTTTTATACTTTTATGAAAATATTTTTAATAAGGAGTATTTTAATATAATTTTTATATTCAAAATAAATTCGTATTAAAAGATATCATTGGTCAAAGTTGACTACCATTGACCAAGAAAAGTCAATTTGCCAAACCTTTTAGGAACGGGGGGGTATAAAGTAAACCGTGTAATCTCTATGAAAGTAATTTAAATAGAATCTTTATTTGAAAAAGCTAATGCTTCACAAGAGTCATCCTAAACAGGAATACCAGACGTATGGACAAACATTGTTTGCTACTTCTCTGTGTACAAGTGTACAACACAATCATGTTGTTAAACATCAGAAGCGAGGATGAATGACAAAAAGTGACTACAGACACGATAAAAAACAATATGACGGGACCCAAGAAAATAACTAGCCAACTTTAATGTCAATAAATAGATTCAAGATACGAACCCATTGCTCCAGCGGTAGCAAAGAACCTTTCACCTTGACACTGGTCTTCCAATCTTTGATTTTCGAACCTGTATGACGGGCCCATTCACTAAGTGCCTGCTTTTCTGTTCCACAATACCCACATTTGCACACAACTCTGCAACAATAGATTTCAACTGTAACTGCTTAAACGATGATATAATAACAGGCTGTAAATTGAAAAGCCAGTTATAACTCAAGATACAAAAGATATTCTAGAGACACTGATAATCTAAAGATATATACTCCACAGGAATATAGTCTATTGTACCCATTCATGACTATTCCATAGTAAGTGGCATGAATTAACAACAATATCTTACAGATGAAGTCTTGGAAAATAAATGCCATCCACACCGGCACAGACAACAGAAACCTTGTCAGGTAGCACAACTTGGCTGTCCTTTTTTATATTTCTGCAAGTGATTACCGATGCTAGTTAGGAATACACGAAGTCCATCAGACCTTCTGTTGTTTGATATCTGTTCAGTTCCAACAGGACTTACTTGGATTTTGAATTCACATTTTCTGAGTCAGATAATTCAAAATTAAACCTTGCTTTGCATTCAGGACAATAGTAATCTGTGTTTCCTAGTTCCTAGAAACAATTGAAAAGTACAATAATCAGCGATGTGGACACGATAGAAAATGAAAACAATATGAGGGCAAGATGAGGAGACCTTGAAATTACTGTTTGAGATTTTGTCACATTCAGCATGCACCCAAACTTTGCAACCATCACAACGTACCTAATCCAGTAAGGAATTATAAGATTTTTCAGAGAAAATATAAATGAGACAAAATTGGGAATCTAAGATCCGTGGAAATAAGTACAAAGGTGAAGCTAACTCACCCATGTCCCACTATCAGAGGGATTACGAATCTTCTGGCAAATGCCACAATAATGTTTAATTTTCTTCAGCTGGAATGAAGATGTGGCAATTAGCACAAAACAAACACGACATATGTATCTTACGTAAAACATTAGTCATATCATATGCAAACACACACAAGCAAAGAGCATAACAAACCCTTGCACAAGCTGGACATAAGCGGTTGCTTCCAGGAGCCGAATCATTTACTTTCCTGGACACTTTGGGAGGGATATATGAACCACATGCCTCGCAGGAATCTGCTTCGTTTTTCATCAACAAATCCTGCATAAATAGAGTACAACATTTGAGGCAAGTATCAAAGCATCAAATCTGCACTTTATGAGATACCCATTGTCTTTCCATTTCCATATCCGAGAAGGATAGAAAACGTATAAGGACAGACAAACTCATACCCAGGAAACAGCAGAGTGTAATTTTAACTTTGAAATAATATCAATAATGACAATGGCAATTGGCAAGTGAAAAAGTCTTGGGTCACCATAAAACTTGCCTTGTTTAGTGAATTGCATTCAACATCTTGATTTGACTCAGATATCTCGAAAGCCCCTCTCGTAATAGACTGAAGATAATCAAGATTTCCAGCTACCGCGTTGATTTCAACCATCAGCATCTCGTTAAATCCACTTTCAGCAAGAAAAGCTTCTTCGATAGCAGACCTAAGGTCATCAGGTGTGCTATCATTCAAGCTGGTCTGTCCCTGAAACCTACATGCGCAGAGTCGAAACCTAACAGTTAAACACATTTGTGTGTTTGCAATATAAATGCCAATTTAAAATAACTCTGATCTTTTCCGTTATACCAAAAAAGTCCAAAATTGACAATTAAACACATTTTTGTGTTTGCAATATACTTGACAATTTAACATCACGCCGATCTTTTCCGTTGCACAAAAACATCACGCCAAACACGTCTAAGAATAGCAAACCTGTCCACGTAATCTAGAAAGGGAAATATCATCCCACGACGAATCCACGCATAGTCCTGCTCATCAATATAAAAAATATTAATTAAATAATTAATTCATCACTTATCCTTTATATACACAAACACTACCCTTAAATACGCAGGAACCGCTAGTGACGTCAAAAGCAAGAGATTAAGTTCAAGTTGATGTCTTACTTACCCTCTGTGTCCCGTTGCCAGAGTAACCAAAAAACATTACGCACACCGTGCCGATAACCCGAAAGTTTAAAACTTGTTGGGGGACTTGTGTTTTGGGATCAAGGACAATTGCAGGCCAAGCTGGGCAGTGGTTCCCAGATATTGCCCAAACTATGTCACCAAAGTTAAAGTTCTCAGGCAAAAATCTATGGGACATCCTCTCTCCCTCACACATGGCCAATGCCTCAACGCAACTTAGTTCTGCACATTCTTCAAAGTCTTCATTCAGATCCTTATCCGCTTTCGAGGACCGATCATGTATTGACGTTCGTGAACTCCGGGAATTAGCAAACTTCCGAACATCAAAACTTCTTTTTGACTCGTTGATTTCATACTCCACTGTTTCATAGTCCAACAATGGCGAGCGCTTACTTAATTGATAGTTCAAATGATCACTTACCCGTTTCTTATTTCCAACTTCGCTACGGATTTTACTGTTGTTCTTCAAACTGTTTTTTTCTTTATTTGGAGTGAATTCAGGGTCCCAAGTCAAGTCTTCTACTGCGGTAGCCTTACTCTTTTCTTTCTTCCAGTTATCAAGAACAGAGTCATTGAACCGAGAAGGCAGTGCCTGTACCCTCCCTCGAGAGGTCCTCACAAGTGGAGGCCTGGCAACCTCCTGCACTCTGTTCATGCTCTCTTTCATCTTCGACTTCTTATCCCCCTCATCCTCGCAACACGATACCTCAGTGCACCATGAAGGCACCACTGTCTCATCCGCAGCCTCGCCTCTGCCTCCCTCTGCCCCAACCCGTGGTAGACCAAACCCATGATACGGAATAACACCGGCGGCGACTTCCCCGAGCAGGCGCAGCGGGTAATACCCATTCTTATTGGTTTCTTTCCTCTTCTTGCGAATTCTATATCCCTCGTCATCATCTCCTCCCGAGTCACTAATACGGCACCTCTTTAAAATCGGCATTACCGATTTCAAGCTGCGCTTAATTATCATCTCCAACCAATACTTTACCACCAATTCGCGAACAATTCGAACCGGAACCCTAACTAAAACGAAGATAGAAAACGAAGAAGCCGCCGGGAATCCTCCGATAAAGATTTGGAACAAGAGAAATTCAAACCAGCGGAGACGCTCTGCGCCGGAACAGGAGTTCTGTAATTGAGGACGAAGATCTGAGAGAACGTTGAAAAACAGGGGAATGAATGGGGATCTCTGTTCACACGAAATTCTGATGAAATCTGCTTCAACCGATGAGAGAGAGAGAGAGGAAGAGTATAAATAAACGAGACGAAATCGTTTATTAAATATGTAAATTCACATAAAAAATAATCCGGCAGAGCATTGAACAATATCCATTTTGCAGGAAAATTTGGTAAGGAAATGATAAAATGTGTACTGTATATTGATATATACATACACAGAAGTGTTTCTATATAATGCGGAGTATATATATACTTGTATATGTTTGTGTGTATGTGAGGATGATGCATTGCGTGCGTGAGTTGGTGTGCAAATTAAGAGCGTAGGGGAGGCGGACGCTAAATTGCGCCGGGCCTCCTTAGTCCGAGGTTGCGTGCATTCTAGAGATGGCCGGCCACCTTAAATTGTTATGTTTTTTTAGTTTTTGCTCTCTCCTTTGCAGAGTTTTCCGTTGACCGGAATGGCATCCAACAACGTTGGAAGAAGGAAATATGAAGTAAAAAAATTGCAGTCCCCATGATCGGCCGGTGGCCGGAGGTAATCCGCTTTGAATTGGGAGGTTTTTGTTTTTAGTTGTGACAAAAGTACATTTGGATGAAGAGTTTCAGAGTTCAGTTTACTCAACTGCCGAAAACTGTTAGTCGTGTTTGTACTAAAAAAGACGTACAAAATATGTATTTAGTTTTTGTAAGATAAGAATAAAAGGATGGGTTTTGGAAACTTATAGTTTGAGATTTGGATGAGTGGGTTCTCTATCTCTGTATATGAAATTATGAATGATATCGTGATAGTTCAATGGACCTTCACTTTTGTTCGATTTCCAAGAGGCATAAACCGCCGCATATTGAGATTGCGCCGGCGGAACGGACGGGCATGCAGTGATGCAGGCTCACTTCCAATATTTTATTTCTCTATGAAGAAAAATTACTAAATTAGTGTGATGCAAATTTTGATCAAATTATCTCTCTATAGATAAAGTGTACACGAAATGCGTACAAAAAGCATCCATGTTCCAATTTTATGATAATCTTGAAATTCGTTTCTACACGCAGCGACTTATCAATTTAGTGAACTCTTAATCCTAACTTAGAATTTTCCCTATGTTTTATTCTTATTTTTAGCAATTTTCTATAAAATTAGATATATACATATATATATATATATAGGGCTGATAGTTCTCCCAAGATTTTTAAACTTAGGATGGACCAGGCTTAGCATGGTCCTCCCTACCTCCGCCTCTTAATCCATGCAAAGATGACCGGAAGACAAATTTGATATCAAATTCTACCATGTAGTTCACGTTGGAGAGATCGAGAGAGCATTAAAAAGTTTGAGGTACTTCCATCTCATGACCCTGAAATGTCGTTGTGGTAATTAGATTGTTTCTCTTAAGAATGGTTTGGGTGTTTGGATCGATGATTTCTTTGAGCTGCAGGAGTTAGGAATGAGCTTCATTATTGACTTGTTTTAGGATACTGTTTTAGCCCGACTTTGTTGCCTCCCGCCCACAGAGGAATTTAGGCAGATAATCTTTGATATGGGTGGACTCAAGGCTCCTGGTAAGGATGGATTCCAGCTTGTGTTCTACCAAAAATGTTGGGATCAGGTCAGCGGAAGGGTGATCAAGTTTGTGCTTCAGTGCTTCTAGTGTCCCGCCGATGTTGTTTTGGTCAATGATACCTCTTGGTGCTTATTCCCAAGACCAGACATCCAACCACAATGACTCATCTCTGACCTATTAGTATATGCAACGCGGGATAAAAGGTAATTATTGAGTGTCTTACTACTCGACTTCAGCACCTGATGCCCTCTCTTATTACTAGAAACCAGTACGTCTAGCTTCATCCCAGACAGACACGTACCGATAACATCCTCATCCTCCAAGAAGTGGTGCATTCTATGGAGCATGATAAGGGACGGGTGTGACATATGGTATTGAAGATTGATATCGCAAAAGCTTATGATAAGATCATTGTTAGTATATATGTCCTATCGACAATCACTTTTTAGAGATATATGTACTTGATCACATTTAGTTTTATATATTTGATATATACGGTATTTACACATTGATGATTAAGTATTTCGATTGTCAATATCTTATTCATAATTGTGTTCCCTTGGATTTATGTTGTCAATAAGTAAGTGGGAGCTTATATGATATAACATAAGGTCCTAAAATAGCCCCAATCAATGATCATCAAGAATGAGATATTGATGATATGCGATAAGATTGATTGTGGACTGCATCATACTTTTAGAAAATATAGTTGATCTCACAACTATGAGTTCCTGTAATTCATGATGGTCACATAGATATTTTAGAGAATATTGACATACCCACCGAGAAACCATTTGATAAGTTCTATTCATGTGTCTATGGTATTATCGGCGTATAGAGTAGTGTAATAATCCTCCGACTTGAGTCAATACATACTACATGTGCGGAGTGATGTACTTTGACCATGACTAACGCTTGCACTCCAATCGGGGTAGATATGACATGTGTTGGGTGCATCACGAAGCACATGGAGTAGTAGTTGAGCCAAGAAAGAATTCATTCCTCATAATAGATTAAGAGAGAACATTCTACTTCTCATATCTAGATGAATCATAAAGCCATTGGCCAATGCAAAGATATATTCATTTTGGATATCGAATATGATCATTATGGATCATCTAGAAAGATTGAGAGATAGAGACTAAGTTATAGATAAAATGTACACGAAACGCGTACAGGAAGCATTGATGTTCCAATTTCATGATAATCTTGAAATTCATTTCTACACGCAGTGGCGTATCAATAAAATTTTGTGAGTGATACAAATTTATATTATAACTTAGTCATGTATTTCACAAATAGAAAATCACATTATTAATATTGTTTGGAAAGACTTAATTTAAGAAGTATACGTACAAATATGTATAAAAGAAGGTCAATTTAAATTACGTGTATACAAAGATGCAATTGTTGAATGAAATTTGAGAACACTACTTAAATAGAAATTAAATTTAACCAAATTTAGCGAACTTTTCATCCTTTTATTCTTTTAATAGGATTACACCAATCCTATATTTAGGAAAGAATTTAGTGAACTCTTAATCTTATCTGAATTTTCCCTATGATTTATTCTTATTTTTAGCAATTTTCTATAAAATTATATATATATATATATGTGTGTGTGTGTGTGTGTGTGTGTGTAGTATATATATAATTATATATATAATTATATATATATATATATATGTGTGTGTGTGTGTGTGTGTGTGTGTACACACAAACACACACATATAGGGCTGAGTTGGGGTCAAGGGGGAGCAGTTGCCCACTACCCCCATAGTCGGTACGCCATTGTGTGCACGAGTGGAAGCCTCAACCATCTTGTTAGGATGGAGTCCACACACAAATTTCATACATTAAAAATAAAATATTTTGAAACTTAGGATGGTCCGGGCTTAACATGGTCCTCCCTACCTCCGCCTCTTAATCCATGCAAAGACGATCGAAAGACAAATTTGATATCAAACTATACCATGTAGTCCACGTTGGAGAGATTGAGAGCATTAAAAATGATATATACTCCCTCCATCCCTCAAAATCAATCAAGTTTGAGGTACTTCCATCTCATGACCCTGAAACGTCGTTGTGGTAATCAGATTGTTTCTCTTAAGAATGGTTTGGGTGTTTGGATCGATGATCTCTTTGAGCTGCAGGAGTTAGCAATGAGCTTCATTATTGACTTGTTTTAGGATATTGTTTTAGCCTAACTTTGTTGCCTCCCGCTTGCAGAGGAATTTAGGCAGACAATCTTTGATATGGGTGGACTCAAGGCTCCTGGTAAGGATGGATTCCAGCCCGTGTTCTACCAAAAATGCTGGGATCAAGTCGGCGGAAGGGTGTGATCAAGTTTGTGCTTCAGTGCTTCTAATGTCGATGTTGCTTTGGTCAATGATACCCTCTTGGTGCTTATTCCCAAGACCAGGCATCTTACCACAATGACTCATCTCCGACCTATTAGTATCTGCAACGTGGGATAAAAGGTATTTACTAAGTGTCTTACTACTCGACTTAAGCACTTGATGCCCTCTCTTATTACTAGAAACCAGTCTAGCTTCATCCCCGGTAGACATATTACCGATAACATCCTCATTCTCTAAGAAGTGGTGCATTCTATGGAGCATGATAAGGAACGAGTGCGACATATGGTATTGAAGATTGATCTTGCAAAAGCTTATGATAAGATCAGGTGGGACTTTTTGGCAAAGACATTGACAGTGGCGCAATTTCCATTCGAGACCATTGCCCTGATCATGGCCTATGTGTCGACAACCAACTTCGAGGTGTTGTGGAATGGGGAACTCATTGAAAAGTTTACACTGTGATTGTGCCACCTTATTGAAAATGCTATTACTGAAGGGGCTTGGAAGCCAATCTGGCTTGCTCGAGATGGTCCGAGCTTATCTCACTTGTTTTTTGCTGATGATTTGGTTTTATTCGCCGAAGTGTCCACCGAGCAGGCCAAAGTGGTACTTGATTGTTTAGACAAGTTTTGTGGGGCGTCTGGCGAGACGATCAACAAAGAAAAATATGCCATCTTCTTTTCCAAAAAGGTACCTCTAGATGTGTCCAGTGAGGTGGCGGACGGGCTTGGCATTCCCATAACCCAAAATCTGGGTCGTTACCTGGGGGTTCCAGTTCTTCATGAGCGCATCTCCAACTCGATCTACCAGGACGTTCTTGACAAGATGTATCACAAGTTTGTAGGATGGAAATTAATGCTTCTTCGTTAGCATTGACTGAGAGAGTGACACTGGTCCAATCTGTTCTCTCAGCTATTTCTTCCTATATTATGCAGACTACAGTGCTACATAGTCATATTTGCAATGAGATTGACAAGAACATTGAGCAATTCATATGGGGTTGTACGACGGATGTTTAGAGAACCCATTTACTCTCATGGGAGAAGATATGTCAACTCAAGAATCAAGGTGGTCTGAGCTTGCGCATGGTGTGAGAGCTCAACTGAGTGTATATGGTAAAGTTAGGTTTTCTTTTACTTATGAAGCCTAAAGAGCTTTGGGTGCAGGTTCTTCTAAGCAAGTATCAGCGAGAGGATGCCGACAGTTTCCATCCTCGACATTCCTTCTCTAAGTAGCCGATTTGGCGAGGCATTGTGGCGGCCATGCCAATAGTGGAGCTGGGAGTGAGAGAAGCCATTCGTGATGAATGTGACACTTTGTTCTGGCTGCATTGCTGGGTGGATCGAGGAGTCAGGTTGTCCGATTTTCTTTTGCCTGATGGGCCTTTGCCGATTCTGGATGCTACAGTTACATACATGGTGACTGCTTCAGATGAGTGGGACTTTGATTTTCTTAATTGCTGGTTGCCAGAATCTGTTGTTGCTCAGGTCGTTGAAATGCCCCCCCCCCCCCCCCCCCCACGAAAGAGGGGAGGGGAATGATGTTTTGGTATGGGGTGTCGAGAAGGGTGGGAGATTCAGAATCCGCTTTGCCTATGATTTACTCGCTACTGACCGAGAGCCATTTGATACGATGGACTGGCCCAATATTTTTTTTTTTTTGCATTTTTTTAACCTTTTCATTTATGCTCCAATTTTTCAAAAAAACATATAATTTGTTTTTAACTTTTTATGTTCTTTCATATGTTATCAATATTGCATGTTTAAAATTTATAAAAATCTGGCTAAAAGTATATATTTTGAAAATTAGACATGCTTTTCAATTTTATATGTAATACTGGTACCTTTTGAAAAATCATAAAAAGGTCTTTAATTTGGTATATATATCTTTTTATAGAAATCGAACCACAAATAAAAAAATTACAATAATTTCGAAAAGAAAATGAAAAATAGAATTGCCACATGAGAAGTAGGGAAGTGAGGAGTGACAATCGCCCTCCTTAAGGAGAGTGAACAAAATCAGACTCTAATTAAGGGCCTAACTCGGGACTTGCCCTAAGTTTGATAACAATGGAATATTTTATACCTCCTCTATGTTTGAATATTTAGAAAGTTTAGAACACTTTTTTTATAATTATGTACAACAATATTTATACTCTCTCCGTCCCAAAATTATTGTCCCGCTTTCCTTTTCGGTCCGTTCCGAAATAATTGTCCCGTTTCTAAAACTTCCTTATTTGGTAAATAAATCTATACCAAACAGTGTCAAACAGTGCAAAACAGTGTCGCTACAGTGCCATTTTCTTAATCTGTGTGAAAAACCAAACGGGACAATAATTTTAGGACGGAGGGAGTAACATTTAATATGCATTAGAAACTTTATTTTTTAGCAAATATAAATAATTACACTATAGTTTCAAACTTACATGGCTTGCACTTTTCTTGAAATGACCTTCCTATTCTCTTAATAATATAGAGAAATTTAAACCAAGGTAACTCTTTATTTTGTATTATACAATGCAATTGTAATAAAAAAATAATCTAAATATCCTCCATTTGCTTGAACTTTAACTCCCCACATCTTGTTGGAAATTGTGTTAAAAATTGCATTTAATGATCAATTTTGGGCAATATTTTGAGTGGGTCCACTTTCGATTTGGGTCGGGTCAAAGTGGTTATGTTTTCACTTTGGGAGATGCAACCGTGTCATGGAAATCCTCGAAACAAACGATAATAGCTAGATCCACAATGGAATCCGAGCTAATAGCCTTGGATATGTGCACTAAAGAGGCTGAATGACTACACCATTTTCTTGAGATATTCCAAGTTGAGAAAAACATGTCCCTCCAATATGCATACATTGCGATTGTCAAGCGGCAATTGGAAGGGTACAAAACAATATGTATAATGGTAAGTCTAGACACGTTCATTGTAGACATAACACCATCAAACTACTCCTCACGACGGGTGTTATCACGGTTGACTATGTGAAATCAAAGGATAACATAGCAGATCCCCTAACCAAAGAATTGGATAAAGAAGTTGTCACGAGAAATGAGACTAAAGCACGTGAATTGAAAAGTTCTACTCCCTCCGTCCCTAAATTATCTTCAAACTTTCCTTTTTCGTCCGTCCCAAAATTATCTCCTCTTCCCCCTTTTAGCAAAAAATTTGTGGTTCACAACCATTCTTACACATTCTTACACATTTCTCTCTCCTCTGCACAACTCTCCACCACACAAATCCCACTATCTTAATAAATGTGCCCAGCCGAAAAAGGAGAAAGATTAGGGACGGAGGGAGTATAGTGGATACCCAACCTAGTTGGTCCTAGATTCAAGAGGGACAACTAAATTATAGAGCGAAAGATGGTTACTGTGGGGGTCTCAAACTTCCACTCACTCCTCGTTGAAACAGTGATTCCCGTACGAGATTATAAAAAATGTTTGCTTTAATGATTCTGAAATGTTGATCAATACAGGACCAAGGGAGTATAAAATAGGGTCAAAATGAGAAGAATTGCAAAAACATCTCCTACACCGGTGCAAAAATACACGATATACTTGTACACCTAAACATATGGTATAATTTGTCATGATTTCGCCTATCAAAAAGGAAGAGAAGCATTGGGATGTAGAAAGGGGGATAGACTCATAGAAGATTTTGTACAACTTATTCAACTTTATCAAGAGTCCGTCACACACCAAGCTCCTCTATGGCTTGTGCATGTGGAAAAAATGTTGGAACACTTGCAAATTTCTCAAGGAGCATACAAATAATTCTTATTCAGCCGTGGACAAATATATACATCCCATCTGTACCCGGATTACTAATCAACCCGGGATTTTATTGCAGCTAAGAACAGATCAAACAACAAACAAACAGTAACTACTTCCGCAAGATATTTCCTTTTTTCTTGGCGAATAGCTAATCAGTACAACCATTCGATCCTTCAGCGCAGCGTACCGTCTTTCTCTTCTGTAGAGCGTTGAACAGTCAGTCAGTGCTTCTTGGATGCATCTGCTTCTTCGGTTTTCGCAAATCTTCCGCGGATCCTGGGTTGATTGTCTGCCAATGCCTTCCTGCATGCATACTGCACATAAACAAGAACAAGACAACTGTTATCAAAGATTTAATAAGATGACAAACAATGATTCTCTCACATGACTAAACTTAACACTTGCTAAGATATAGAATTTCATCCTAAAATGTCATTCTACCGGAGTGTGGCTCGTTAGAGCTACTGATCTTGAAGTCTGTATGCTCGTTATTGAAACTTACCAGAATCAAGTTACTCATTGTGTTTTAGAGGCTCTAATACCATATTAAACCATCATTTCCATCCTAAAGTATACCATGTTAAGATATGATACATAAGACTTGAGACTCCCGTAGGAAGAGTGGTCCAAAGTCTTGTGACTTTACATTTTGGGGGTTTGACATAAATATTCTAAAGGAAACAAATATATTTCAAAAAATGACTAGTTGGCTACATATGTAACTTTTATTATGTCAATATCATTGCAAACCACTGTCATCACTACTCCAATCTCAGTGTCACCAACACAGCCCCTCACGTGTCACTATAGCTGGAATGACTTAACAGCATTGGTTTTAGGAAAAATTAAAATTCTAGGTGTAACATTTTGACTTGACAGCATTGCTTTTAGAAAAGAGTTTTACTTGGCAGAAAGAGAAGCTTACCTTGATTTTCCTGCCGAAATTCCTCTTGGCCTTCTTGATCCTGTATCTCGATAGCTTCTCCTTTCGTGCTTCAGAAATGGAACTGCATAGTCCCAGCGGAGAGTGGATGAGGTTTACGTTACCGTTACCAAGAGTCTGTCAATAAAACTCATTATCATCAATCACGCTGCCCCATCCTGTTGTAAACACGTCTATACATTTCTCAGTTTGCAGACTTCATCACCGAGCCAACAAATGCTCAGTGTCAGAGGAATTTACTCGCAGCTGGCGGTTATAACTATGAACATATGAAAATGATGGTATGCGGAAGTAATGTCAACATAAAAAAATGCATCACATACCTTTCATGCTTTTTTCAGTACTCTTTAAAGGTTATATATTTCATGGTTATCTAAGCATATAATCATTGTGTGCTACATTTTAAGCCATATGATTAATGCAGTGTAGCTTTAGCACGCATCTGCTGTGCAGTCACACTAATGCATTCACTACCGGCTTCTCCCCCACCCTAGCTAAGTTAATAAATAGATCTGCAAAAAATGGCTTCCTGTGTTCTTTTCTAGTATTTCGTTGGGGTTCGTTTGGATAAGAAAAATATAAGAGAAAGAAAATATGAAGTAAACTTAGATGAAAGTTGTGAGGAAATAACATGTTGGCGGAAAGAAGATATCCTAAAACAGTAAAACTCAGTATATGATTTAGAAAGGAAGTTAAGCTTGACCTTTATGTCTCCTTCACTGAGTGATCTTCTCATCCCATAAACAGCATTAAACTCCATTCGTGGCAAATCGAAGATTTTTCCAGTAACTGGAGCCGTCTCTTGTACCCAATCCACCAACGTGTTTAGAGACTCAGAACTAGCACTCTTCTGAAGTAAAGATCCATGAGAATCCAGATTCTCTTCTGATGTCATCTTTTCACCAGCCTTATTGGTGGTGGGATCAAGAACATGAGAGAGTGATAGAATTTCTATTCCATCTTTGGCCAGTAGATCTTTCTTGCATTCATAGAAAACCTCACTGAGGATCTGCCCGTTCTCGAATGATGATTCGATAATCTCTGAGACCTCAAGGCCTTGTGGGGAGATGACATCATCTGCACATGAAATCAATGAAATAGCAGCTGTCATGGGATCAAGATCCAACAGCTCTTCTTCAATAATTGGTTCTGGCGCCTTGAAGAGATCCCCTTCTTCTCCAAGGTCATATTCTGATATTGAAGATGTCTGTCACATGCATGCATCATATTAGAATTAAAAAACAAGTTTATGGAGACATAAACAACATTCTAAGTGCATTTTTAATGTAACGAGAATACCGTTTATCATAATCACATGGTTGTATATGAGAACTTCTAATCTCCGTCTTTTAGTTTAATATCAACAACTAATATTGACAATGTGTCATTTTATGATTATTTTAGAGTAATTGCAAAAAAGTTGAAAATGATGATATTAAACAAAAATGACACCATATAAGTGTTAACCATGGATTGAAAAAAAAAACAAAAAGATGCATATTACAAGTTCAATGTGTTTCATAGAAAAATCTATATACTCCGTATATAAAAGAAAAAGAACATGTGAGAAATAAATATTTATTTCTTGTTAAGTGTAGCTTATAGTAACAAAAATACAACTTTTAACACAAAAGTTATATAATCCTATTGTTTTTTTTACTATAAAAAATTTGTTACTATAAGTTATATTTCACGATTGAGAATTTCTCAGATCATCTCCCTATATATAATAAAAGAATGGAATTGGAATTGTAATTTTATTCTGGAAACATTATGGGAGCCCCATGAATAGCTTCCCTGGAAATACAGACTATGGCCATTCCTAGATAAGGAGAGAGATTAGAAGGCATACAAAGATTCTTGCAAGTAGTTACCATTTGAGAAAAGTATGACTGGAAAATGATTAGTTTAATTTAATTCAAAAATTTAAAGATTACAGTCATTACACCAGTCGTTCTGTAAAATTCTTTGTCGAGCATTCTATAGATTCCTTTTTATCAAAAGTCACATCGTGTTAATTACTGATAAAGGAACCCTTATATTTAGGGCCGGTTTGGTAACCTCTTTTAGCTTACTCTGCCGATCAAAAGAATAAGTAGCCTTTGATTCATACTCATTTGGCTGAAATGGATGTTATCAAAAAATTTCTCGGAAAAAACTCAGCAAGTATAGACCTTTAGTCATTTCAACCAAATAACACTCATCAAACATGACATGTGAAGGAAAAGAGAAGTAGACAAATTTTAGCTACTTGTATTATTAAAGTTAGCAGAAGCTTTATCCACCAAACAGTCAAATTGCAGCAGGATATTTTTTTTTATATTAAAAGAAGCTAGCAAGAAAGAGGTTGTTATTCCCACTTAATAAAAAAAAGATGACACCCTATCCCTGAGGGCCCCCAAACCCGACCGGAAGGTATGTAAATTGTATTATAATCTCAATATGACAGATACAGAGCGGGTTCTATGCCCGGTACTTGAAGAGGCCCTATGCATTTTGTAGCATAGTAACCTCCCTCTCGTCACAGTTGACGGGATTCCTCTCGTCACAGTTGACGGGATTCGAACCGGAGATCTACACCTTCTGTCACACTTATTCCCACTTAATAAGCCTCCCTATCAATGCCAACAAAAAGGGGTCCCCCTCACAGTAGCGTTTCTTTTTCCCAACCTTTTAATCAGTAGTCAGTACATATCTTTACTGTGAAAAATGTGGATTCATGGCAGAAAATCAAAGAAAAATCAAAAGAAATAAAACCATCTGCCATTAAAATGCAGATCTACCACATAAATGAAACTCAGCTGCCTTCTATATGTTCCCACATAAAGAAATTTATGTGTGGGTATTTAGAACTAATAAAGACTTGAGCTTTTCTTTCTCTTTCCCCAAATTTCTCATCCATAAACAATAATTTGAAATAAAGCTCACAGAAGTGGGAAGAAAAAGATCACATAAAATCAAGAGAATTGAAGTTCAAATAACCAGAATAAAGATATTGATCAGAGAATAAAATCTAAGAATAAGAAGATATTGTAAAAGGAAATCCCCAATATTGAAAGAGAAAATAGTAACCATTGAAGCATTGGGTCTGTGAGAGACATAGAGCTCTTCAAGGTGGGGAGCTTCTTGAGAAAAGCTCCGGAAGTAATAAGGGAACAATAGCCCACTCTCAGTGTACATTTCTTTTCTTCCTCTCTCCAATCTTCTTTCCCTGTTTCCTTTTATGTCTCTCTATCTGTGTCAAGATGTACTACTAATTTAGTGAAGGGTTGAATGAGGGAGAGTAGCAATGATGGCGCAAAGGTCTTCTTATAGGGGTCAAGGTGAGCTATAGAACAGACAGAACCGAAGTAGAGAGCGAAGGCCTCACGAACAGCAAACAAAAAATAAAAGGAGTGAAAGAATTCGATTTTGGTTGGTTCTTGATTTGTTGGGATTTCTCTATTCATTCATGAATGACAGGAAAACAAATTTTTCTCATTAATTAAGAGCTGATTTTGACATGAGTTTCAAATTATTACTCTCTCCGTCCCGAAAAGATTTTGACTAAATTTCCTTTTTTGGATATCCCAAAAAGATTTGTCATTTCCATTTAAAGTAGGGAATATGTGTCTATCAATTCTCTCTCCTCTGCAAAAATTTAAACCACACAATTTTTACTTTATTAATCCACGTGCAAGTCAACTTTGGCCAACCTTTTCAGGACGGAGGGAGTAAAACACATACTAACATACGAACTACTTCCTTCGTCCTTTAAAACTTTGTCAAGTCTGATCGGCATGAATATTAATAAAGTAAAAACTGTGTGGTAAAGTTATACAAAGGAGAGAGAATTAACTGAAATCACAAATTATTTACCTAAAAGGCAAAGTGTCAAAGTTAATCGGACAATCAAAAAAGGAAAGTTGACAAGATACGGATGAAGTATTATAAATCCAAAAAATGAATGTTACAATACTCCATTAAAAAAATAAAATAATGATATTTTTGTATTTCATTCATGTAATTATTTCATCATTTATTTATATTTAAATTACTTAATTGCATTATTTTAATTGGTCCACGTAATGGGGTATTGACCTAGTGAGACCTCTTCTAAGGGGAGCTGGCAACAACAGATACATCATCGTGGCTATCGACTACTTCATCAAGTCGATTGAGGCCGAGCCTCTTGCCATCGCAGGCAAGAGGTGCACCAAATTTGTACTAAATAACATACTCACACGCTTCAACGTCCCTTACCAGATCATCTCGGAAAACGAAACCCAATCTAAAGCAACCCATTTTCAAAAACTCCTAGCAGAGTGGGGCATAAGGCATAGTTTCTCCTCCGTTGCATATCCCCAGGGGAACGAACAGGTCGAGAATCCAATAGAACCATATTGGAAGGACACAAGAAAAAAATTGGAGTCTGAAGGAGGAAGCCGGGTCAATGAATTGCACAACATTTTCTATGTCACGCCCCAGATCGCATCCATACCACGTAGACAACCGTCGTACAACCCAATAAGAATAACAATCGTTCATCCCTATTGAATCATACAAGGCGTCCGATAGATTCTATTGCCAAACCGATTAATAAACAATACAATCAACATCGATATCAGAAATGCTTGTATCCACCTTGGCAGTAAATTGTTCTAACTGGTGCGCGACAACTTTGGGCTCAATTCCACGTCAAAGCTATCAGGGCCGTAAGAGTACTCCTCGGCTTCCCAGGCAACATCAGGAGACCCGAATATGTCTTGCGAATCCGAGGATGACATCACTAACAGTTTCTATACTTAGCCGCTAAAGATCAAATGGTGGCCCCCTCACTAACACTCGATCTAAGAGTTTGGAAGCTAAGTATGATGGAATTTACAAAGAACGGATGAAGAACTGACCTTGAAGTTCCGAAGGTTGATGAAGAACGATGCTTGGGTGTTCCTCTCTCTAAAATTCGACAGCACTTTGTCCGTTATCAGAAAAGCGCAAGCGGAAAATGAGTACTAAGGACAAGTATTTATAGGCGAAGCAATGATGTTAGCTTAATAGTCATCACATGTGTCAACATGTAGTTCGCCGCTCGATTCAATCGGTGCGACCGCCCAGCCAATCCACTCATGCCACAAGACCGCCTTTCACACTCACATCGGCTAAATTCAAAGGGACACACCTCGAGGCCATCAACAATGGCACCTCGGAGAACAAGTCACCGACACCAAATATGATAGGAACACCTCAGGTATGAATCTTGAACTCAAAGACCAAAAATAAGCCCATCGATTTGAGCACCGCGGTGATAGTCTCTGGCCAGCTACCTTCGGATGAGGATTCTCCCACAAGGTTGCTTTGTTCAGGGTTCGCCAAAGAGATTGGATCACCGGATCACTTCGCATGTGCCATCTCGACACACATGTCCCAACACATCAAGCACCAACGACGTCTCGGTGCCAAGGATGCACTCCTCAAACCTGATGATAATCTCGGCATCAGGAGTGAGGGATCGGAGGACTACACCTCGGTCAAAAACGCAACAAACAATCACGAAGTCCATGCTCACCACGGAAGGCATCACCTCGAACTCAACCGCAACCAAATGCCAGGAATCAAAGCACAGGGTCAACATTAGAGAAAATATACTCCCTTTCACTTTGGTGCTCCTCAGGTCAGAGAGTGGGGGACTCCTGATAGAGTGTATGGGCTCAGATCTACGACCCACACACTATTAGAAACACAACGGTCCAAGCCCATGACATTACTAGGGGGTCCAACAAACAAGCCAAGTCCAGAATGAAGAAACGAACTCCCCGTGGCACCGACACCTCGGTGGCATCACCTCGGTCCCAGATCACCTGAAGTCTACCCAAGAGCTACGGTTAGCGGACCCGAGGTGCACCCCTGCACCTCAGCCATTAACACCTCGGCCAACAGAGAACGTATGGCCAGAGATCAACCAGAGAATGACACGCATCAAGCTTTGTAGCACCTCAAGGCTCTCGCCTGTAGAATACTCGATACGTGTAATGCATTCGATTCATTTTTTGCTATTATAAATACCTCCTAGGGATGTAAAGGGTTGGAATCACATTAATTGTGATCTCTTTCTCTCTCTCTAAACTTAGCTTTCCCTTCTCTCTAAGCAATACCATTAGCGGTTTACTAGAAAGCTATCAGGTGCTTTAAGGGTGTCGTAACATTTTTCATCCAAAAAATATCTGATGGAGTATATGGACCACGGACCCCCGGTCCACAGACTCCTACTACTCTAACACAGGCCCAAGAGGCCCAAGAAGCACACGAGGCCCAAAGGACAATGGCTCAAATGTCAAGAAGCCCGCGGTGCACATACGGGTGCCTTCGGCCCCATGGCCAAAGGCCCCCAAAACTCACAGAACAGCTAATTTTACGCATACAAACATACTGGGAGAAAACGGTGGAAGTTAGGAGCCTTCAGCTACACAGAGCCCCCGGCCACAGGGGAGCCTTTGGCTACAACACAAAACATCGAAGATTCCCTTTGGAGACAAGCAACAGCTGCATTTAATGCATCGTCACATCCACCCACCACATTTAATACGGTGCACATGCGTATACCGGTGCCATCCCGATTGAGGTGACCCCTCGACCGCTAGATTGTTGACATGTGTACTCTCATCACATTTATTACTGCAATAAATAGCAGCCCATTCTCCATTGTAAAGCATTACAAGTTCACATATTCGAATACACTTTCTCTCTCTTACTTATTGCTCTAACTTCTCTCCAAGTTATTCCCATAATAACCCCTCGGATAAGCTACCCCCGGGGTACACTATCCATCATTTGGTGCTCTCGTTGAGAGGTCGAACAATCAAGTAAGAAACCCTCACCTCCGCAAAACACAAAAGGTGGCAAGAACCACTTGTGCCCAGTCCAAGAACCTCGAAGACAACAACCTGGCCCTCGGCGAAGTCGACGCCCCCGGAGCCTCCAACAAAGCTCTCGAGGGCGGAGTTATCGCTGGGTTGGAACATGCTGCTGTCAACCTGCGTCTTCAGCTCCAGTAGAATGCTCCCAATGCCCGCCTCGGTATCGAGACTCGAAGGAAGGACCGGAGCGAAAACCAAGTGAGCCCTCCGGTCCTCACCATTGATGTGCAGTCAGCATTTTCTGCCTTCATCCAGACACTCACCCAGAATCCAGGCGCCTTCGGCACTCTGGTGCCACTTCAACCACAAGTTGGGGAAAATGTCGTCCCTCCCCCACCTCCACCCCCTCGCAAACCATATACTGTGGTTAGGGAACAACGAAGGGGTCGTGGCTCAGGACACCGCTTCCCAGGAATCCAGTCCCGGGACCAGCACGGTGCGAACAAAGATAGGCCCCGGACCTTTGCCCTCGAGAGGTTAGGAGGAGCGCAAGATCGTCGAGGGGTCCAAGACCGCCTCGGGGGTAAGGCGTTCCAAAGACCTCAGGAAAGCGGAGGATCTGTATCGAGGGCAGACGAGAGGCGTCCCCCTCAGGACAAAGGCAAGGGACCACTCCATGCTGACAATGTCAGACACAGGATCAACCAGGCTTACTCGGCCCGTGTACAATCGCAAGGGGCGAAGGCCCTCCCGAAGGATCACAGGGAAGAGATTATTGAGGCCCCCCAACGCCGCCTTGATGAAATGGAGGCTCACCAAGCGCACACGACCACTTCCACCTCGCAAGCAGACCCCAAGTACGCCACCATGCTCGCCAAGATGAAGAAAATGCAAAGAAAATTTGCTGAGGGCTCCGGGGAACCCATCATCCAACTCCGGACAAGGACGCCATTTACCCCAAGGGTATTAGCGGCCCAGATTCCGGGAAAATACTGAGGGCACCCCATCAAGCCCTATGAAGGGAAGACTGACCCCTGGGAGCACTACAGCAGATACGAGAACAACATGATGATGGTGGGGGCATCAGATGAATATTTATGTCGTTGGTTCCTTTCCACCTTAGAAGGACCAACATACGAATGGTTCAACCGATTTCCCGAAGAAAGCATTGACTCATGGCAGGAACTCACCCAACGTTTCTTGATGCAATTTGCGGGAAGGCACCGGTCAAGAAAACACTTCTCCCGCTTACTAACGGTGAGGCAACTGAAGGAGGAGACCCTCCGGGACTTATTGGAATGCTACAGGCTGGAGATAGATAAGGTTGACGGCGCCGACGACGGGACCCTTCTGGCTCTCCTACAGACGGTCCTTCGCACCAGGATCTTTTCAAGAAGCCTCATCATCGAGCCTCCTCGCGACTACATAAGGGCCCTCCAGCGGGAAGACCGGTACGCCGAAGCCGATGAGGTGGAAAAGTGTCACCAAAACCCCGAGCAGCAGCGCCCTCGACAAGATGACAGGAACAACCGGGGGCCAGGGGCTCTGAACCACCAGTCCAAAGGTCCCCCCGGGTGATCGCCCCCGACATGGCCAAGCCAAGTTCGGGGAGGTTACAAGAACAACCCGAAGGCCTGGTCGTAG